GGGGCACAAGCCCCCACCTCCCACCCCCCATGGTTCTTCCAAAACAACAAAACAGAAACCTACATATACACGTAAATTCACCCACCTTATACACTTTGACCATGAAGATGGAGGAAAATACTAAGACAGTACCTTGATCAGGCCATGAAAACTTTCTTCCAAATCCTTTTCAATCCATCAATCATCCTACCCTACAATTCAATATAGTCGAGACACTGACAGCATGGTAAAACATTCTGGGGGGGACAAAATAAAAAAAGGCATATGGGAGACAGTGGTAACACTCCAGTCTCTAGAACTAGAAGCTGGTGAATGGTCAGCTCCACACTCCTGCTGCCTTGTACTGTGGGAAAGAACCCCTTGTACCCATTGTGTTAGAGACTGAATAAGCATTGGAATGAGGCTGAACATGGCGAAGAGATTTACTCTTCCACTGACAGGAACAGAACTCCAGTCATTTAGTCACAGATCAGCTAAATAACCAACTCTCTGCTAGTAGAATAAAAAATATCACGAAGTTGCATTCAGACAAGATATTGAGCTAACAGTTATCCAAGTGGTCCCTTGATAAATGAGTTTCCCCACCAAAATTCTGAACACATGTTGGTTCTGAACCTGAGCTGGGCTATATATTGCCATGGTGACACTGCATGATAGTCACTCCCATGGAGGATATAATAATTATATTATAATGCCTGTGTAATTAGTAGCTGCATGTTTCTAATCATAACAATGTTAATGTAAACTTCCTACTGCAATTCAGTCTTTCTGTGAAATCACTGGAAAGATTACAAGCTAATACTTGTAAGATTTGAGGCTTTCACGGCGGTGACTATGAAGAAAGCAGTCTTCTGGGAGGTTAACACCATATATACACAGTGCCAAATCCCAGAAGACTGCTTTCTTCAAGCTAATACTTGTTGCACAGAGTTTAACATTCAGGTACAGATTAAAGCTGGAGAGCTTAATCTAAGGATTAGCCTGCTAACATATCCCACATTTACAAGGATTTCTTTCAGCTTTAGTAAATTTACTGATTCCAGGCATTTAGTGAATATGCAACATAAATGGATTCTAACATCCTTCCATACATTAGTTACAGAACATGTGATGAAGTGGTAACCTTCTCTCATGGAGGAAGCTGGCAGAAGGAAAGCATAAGGTGACAGTAAAGGTGACAGAGAACACTCAGTTGTAACCAGGCATTTATTCAATAAGTAAGTTGTTGACTAATTATTAGGAATGATGTTCACACAATGCTATACAAATACATGTAGCAATTAAATTGGACAAAGAATTACAGCCTGGACCCACTTCATTCCCTCATTAACAGTTCCTTTCTCCTAATTTTGTACACCTAAGCCAAATTAAGTGTGACTTAATTAATAAATTTCTTTATCAGAGTTCCATCCAAGTAAGTTTATTCACTTTCTTAAATCAACTATTAATTTCCTTACATTTTCTTTCCTAGGCAGTGCATGTTACTAATCTGAAGACACCAATTTCATCAAATTATTTAACTGAAATAATAACTTCAATAATTTGGGGCATATTATTTTCTGTTAAATGTCTAATAAACAATTTACTTTATTACTTAATTTTGCCATCAAGGACTTTCATGAATGAAAATATAATGTTGCAGTTCTCGAGACTTTCTACAGGAAATGAAAAAATTAAAACAAAAAGCTAATATTACACATTCTTCTGGCAGCCATTTACATATGGAAAATTGGGATGTGCACTGAAGTTAACAACTCTGTAAATTTAAATGTCCTAAAAACTTGCTTTTCATTGTGGCCATGCATTATATACATTTCATCTTTAAATATTCTTTCCAAACACTGTACAAAACAAATGTACAAAAGGAACACTGTGTACCTACCCACATGTTTCATCTATAAAATACCAAAGTTCTGAACAGGTATAAAAAAATATGTTATAATAAGCTAAGCAAGAAACCAGAGTGAAGCAGATAGGCTTGTTATCTGCTTCACACACTGCTTTCTTGCTTGACTTGTTCTTCAACTCTGAAGATGGAGGTAACATGTTCCCCTGAACTGTCAGTTGACTTTCAATGAACTACATGACGTTATATAACAGAAGATAAATTCTTCATAACCACCACTTTGAGAATCTCAAATCCAACAAGGACGTTTGGAAAACTGGAATACTCTTTTCCACTCTAATGTGTCCTCATAAATACTCAAAACATACTCTGAAATGTTAGAGCTGGATACATGTGATAGGTGTAGCAAAGAAATACTTCAATATCTTTGCTTTCCTCACTCTTGGACAAGAACTGTCTTAATGAACCTACGTGGGGACATATCAGCTGTTGGGTTAAGTTGTTCGTTATTAATTTCCCTCTAAGTAAGCCCATGGAGCACAGTCCTCTTTGACAAGTTAACAATCTCCCAGCTAGTCTTCAAAACTCCCTGCCTTATGCAACCAGAATGTTCACTACCATGTATACAAAAGCTTGATCCTGGGTAACATCCTGAGCAAACACAATTCAGTCCACACCCTTGCAATCTATTTCCTTCAGATCCGTCTTAATATTATTTTCCCACGTATGGCTGTGTCTCCCAAGCATCTCTCTCCTTCAGGTTTTGTGACCAAAACTTTGTACACATTTCTCACCTCTGCCATGCATGCTACACACATATAGCAGCAGATCCCTATCTGCAATAAATGAACATCGAGACAACAGGACGCAAAAAGAGCAACATTACTTTTGGATACTATATATACTCCGGGCACACAGTAGCGTAATTGGTTGAGGGGCTATGCTACAAGCTGGAAGGTCACGGGTTCAAGTCCCGATGAGGTCATTGGATTTTTTTTCAATTGACCTAATCCTTCCAGCCGCACTATGGCCCTGGGGTTTACTCAGCCTCTAACAGAAATGAGTACAACGAATTAATTAAATAATTTTCCTGGGCAGTAAAGCGTGACCAGCGCACAAGGCTGACAACCTTACCATCTTTGATCCGATTGTCTAGAAAATGTGGGAACCTCAACATCTCACAACCCTATGGGCCTTCACGGCTACAGGGATAGCTTTACTTTTTTATTTTTACTATGTATACTCCGGACTGCAGTACATCTTTCCACTCTTGATTATCTGGGCACAACTAGTGTTGCAGGAAGGCCACATTGCTTCATTGGCACTAATTAGCAGACAGTTAGCAGAGACACCACAGAAAACATCAGCCATGCTAAACAAGTGATCAGGAGTTCCTTGTGAAAATCACACTAATTGATGCAAGAGCTAAACATTCTGATGGTGTTACCATCTGTTATATCACCAATGAAACCAAATGTCCCACTAACAAGTTTTAGCTAACAACATGCAGGAGTATGATTATGAAATGTGGCCATGAAGGCATATGTTTAGCACTAGATAGGAAAGTGTACTAAGCTATAGTTTCTAGCCACCTTACCCAAGAGAGAACTCTTGGCACCCTATGACTTAAGAATTCCACCAAGAGGTCAAAGCAGGACCATGCATTTTTACCTTAGCAACAGACAGAAGTATGTCATTACCTTCACGTGTGAGAGGAAAGAATGCTTGGTACCTTGTGTCCTAAGCACTGTGCCATGAAGTATTATACACAATATACATGTAAAGCTTCATGCATTGTCAACGTTTAGAATGGATAGGAGAAAGTGTACTTTTTATCCTTGGGGTAGTGTAAGACTGAGTATCTATGTACTCTGGCCAAGAATGAGTCTACTGTACAAGCACTGAATGATAGATCAGTGTATGGAGCTATGGCAGAATGATAACTGTCAGAAAAAACTGAAGTACTTGAAGAAAATCCTTGCTCAGTGCCAATCTGTCCACCACAAATTCTACCTGTAATGCCCCAAGATTAAACACTGACCTCTGCAATGACAAGATGGTGACTAAACACCTGGGCTATGGCAAGGTCTGGTGTGAGTGACTAGTTTCATGCTGTTTCCTTTCCAAAGAAAACTCTTGGTACTCACTGGATAGGTCAATCTGTCTTAGACACAATGGTGAAGAGAAGAATTAGGGCCAGCACACACATGCAATTTTTAGTTGGCCGATAGTTGTGCACATCACTGAGAAACATTGTGTTTAATGGGAGTGTGCACACATCACGATAGTTGTTCCAACAGTCGGTGAGCAGTTGGGTTCTACCTCAACTGCCCGCCGACCCAACTGTTGTTGATAACACTGGTGTACATGATCTGTTATGGGAGTGCACACACATACAATTGAAAATCGTGAGCTCGCTCTAGTTCCTCTAGTTGCAACACATGGGATCAAAGCATCGAAAAGCTTATAGTATAAGTGGAGAAGCGGCAAGTTCTTTATTTAAAATCACTCCAATAATATTCTAATACTAATCATACGAAGGAGTTGTAGGAAGAGGTGTGTACCGCTTTGACTGAAAACTGGAATGGTCTGGCTCCTGAAGAGAAAAAAACTGAAGGTAATTATCTATACTTTATGCAGTTATAATCTTCTTAAATTACATACAGTGCTGTATATAATATTTTAAGACAATAAATTCTGTTACATATTTTAATTATATATAGTACAATTATTTCTATTTATTTGAAAATTTTTCTCTAACATATTGCATATATAGTATTTTTAGCATGATCAATTTTTATTTCATTGACAATTCTTACTGAAGTGTAATGAGTCTAATTGCTTACATAAAAAAGTGATCATACCCTTAATGTTATGTAAGAGAAAAATACTGTTTTTGTGTGCTGTGTGTTTGCAATGGGGCACGAGGTAGCGTAGTTGGTTGAGGCACTATGCTAGAAGCCGGAAGGTCGCGGGATCGAATCGCGATGAGGTCATTGGATTTTTTTCAATTTACCAAATCCTTCCTGTGGTCGACTCAGCCTCTAACAGAAATATGTACCAGGAATATTCTTGTCTGTAAAGGGCGGCTGGGGCATAAGGCTGACAACCTTACCGCCATCTATGAGCCGACTGTCTGGAAAATGTGGGAACCTCAACATCTCACAACCCTATGGGCCTCCACGGCCTGTTACAGGGATACCTTTACTTTACCTTTTTACAGTTTCTGTTTGCCATAATAATTCTAGAAATATTAAACTCCAATCTCCATCTTGTATTCTTGTACAAGATATGAGGTTTCAGAAGAAGTAACAATTCATCAAAACTAGCAACACTTATTCTGCAATAACTGAAAAATTTTGATGGTTATTGCCTCAGTTCATGGTACAATGTATAAAATTTTCCTTTTAACAGACGTTTGCTATAAATAGTGTGAACCCAATATTCCCACTTCCTTTTTTCCTTAATCTTAACAATAATGCATATACTACTGCTGTACTGTACACATCCATGCTGTGACTGACCGACTGCTCACTGCCGTAGTTGTGGAAAACTCGAAATTGTATGTGAGCGCACGTCCCTCAACAGTCGTTGGGCCTCCACGATTGTGCACAACCGTTGGCCAACTAGAAATTGCATGTGTGTGCTAGGCCTTAAAATACCCCTATATGAATGCATTGAACAACAAGCACCTAGCTGACATATCTCTGAGCATAAATGTGGAAAATATAAGGTGAAGAAGCAGGGTTCCATTTCTGGCAGGAGTAAGACTTCTAATGTCACACTAGTGCTCGCCTCAACTCTTGGCTCCACCAGACTGCATCCAGTGAGTACTGCGATGGAAGTAAAAGAGTCGCAGCATGAATCTCACCACCCACCTCCACACCCTTTTGAGGTTAAGAATGACTGAAATGGTACTTCCACTTCCTCTGTAAAACTTGATGTCATGATGCTTTCGGACAGGAGCATCTTAGAACTGCGGAGATCAATGCCTTTCATAGAAAAGTCATAGTTTATAAAAACTTACCCAGAAAAAAAAAGGCAGATTAAGAACACCTTACAGTACCAAGACTCACCAACTTCATATATAACTTAAAGGAACAAAGAAGACATACAGTGAAATCCCTATTTAAGGCTCCTTCGGGATCAGTGGATTTGAGCACTACAATGAGGAAAGTTTGATATGGAGGTGTTTTATCACCAAGACTACTGACTCAGGATCATTGAAACACAATTTGGGATCCCTGGTTCCCAGGACTAACATTGAAAACGTTAGTTGATTCCATCTAATTCATAAGTATCTTCAGACATGTTATCCACATTTAATAATGTTTGACAATGTTGTAGCATTCGTACAGGGGAATTTGCATCAAATGCTCCAACCAACCTTTGCTAGGCAACATTTCAGTTAACACCATCTGAAAGCAGGAATAGCAACAAACAAGCAGAAGTCCGTTTGCTAGACAATGGCTCACTAAAACTCATTCTCATGTCAACAAAGATTCAGCAAAGGTTTCCGTAAATATGAGGAATCTTGGGATCACCATGCATTTCCGCTACAACAGATACTAGAGACCAATAGCTTCTATTTGGTCCTCCCGAACTTATAAAAGAGAATTTATTAGTGAATTAAATCCATTCATTCGTAACACAACTCAGAAAGCAGTTCAACAGTTGAACATACAGCTGCGAAGTGTTCACCAGGTAAGATTCATTACCGAGCAACGACTAGCAAGCAGACATTGAAGACTTTGTGTGCTATAGTTACAGTAATCTATTGTCTTACAATTCAGCAGATAAGTTTTTATGTGTTTTTTTATATTTACGCTGTCGCTCGGCATTTAACTTAGATCATTTTGGTACATTATTACAATTATCTTCTTCTGACCGCTTCCATTTCCTGTACTAATACATGCAGTATGACTATTACCAGCAAACATCTTATCAGTGCATGACATCATATGCTGGTAGCTTGCCTATAGTAATGCATCATCCACTAAACAGTGGAAATGAATTAGCCGTATTTGATAGAAACAAATGGTCATAACCCTTAAACTGTAAGCGATGGACCAAAATGGGTTGCTTTTTTGAGATGCTCGCATTTATTAACATATTTCACTCGCAATCTGTCCAGATCCGTCTATGTACTACACTGAGCACATTTCCAAGGTAACAAAGTCAACAATAACATCAATTAATTACTAGCAAAGGTATCAATAATCACAAACTGTTACACTTTGCCATGAACATTTCCAAGGTAGCGAAATCAACAAAAAAACTTCAGTTACTTAGTAGCAAAGGTATCAATAATTATAAATTGTTACATTTTCTGTTATTTACAGCTTCATTCCATTTGCATCCTTGTATAAAAACGTTTTCAACATTAAAAAAAAACATTAAATAAGGGAAAACCTTTAATCTAAGTACAGTGGGTGTGTCACTATCAATACATTTTCAATTTTTGAGATGTCTTACAGGAAATATACAGACAGTTTAGGTACAGCTATCCCTGTAACAAGCTGTAGAGTTCCATAGGGTTGTGAGAAGTTGAGGCTCCCACATTTTCTAGACAGCTGGCTCACAGATGGTGGTGAGGTGGTCAGCTTTACTTCTCGGTAGCCCTTTAGACCCAGGAAGATTCCTGGTACTCATTTCTATTAGAGGCTGAGCCTACCCCACAGCCATAGTGCAGCTGGAAGGATTAGGTCAATTTCCAGACAGTTTCTGAACATAATATGTAACCAGCAGGCGCGTAAGGCTGACAACCTTATCGCCATCTGTGAGCCGATTGTCTACATAATGTGGGAACCTCAACATCTCACAACCCTATGGGCCTTCACAGCCTGGTACAGGGATAGCTTTACTTTTTACTTTTACTTCTCTTCCACTGGAGGAACAAAACTGTCACCTTAAGTTTCTGTTTAGTGTTTATTTTTATGCAAAGAAATTTACTCCATAGCATTGCATTGACCTGGGGAGGACACAACTTCATCCCATGCATGCAGTTGGACCACTGCTGGGTCCATTGTACACTCCTGATATCACTACAGTCTTTCAAAGTACACTGTCTTCAATGCTAAAGCCAAATCTTTTCAAATGAGGTCCTTCTAATATCTGCTGGCTCTAGCCATGCACTGCCAAACATCTTCATTCTACACCCAGCCCAGGCTGAGGATTGACAAGGTATGTGGTAGGAGAATGTCTCTTCCTGTCCACATTTCCCCCATATGGTGCTTTCTGAGAGGCCCATAATATGCAAGTGCCACCTCAATGCATAGTGGTTAGTCAGCAGTCCTGTCACCAGCCTCCAATGTTCCTGTTCATGGCCAGTAGGTCCCTAGACAGTGTATCCCAAGGATCTTCAGCTGCCTCATACTGGTGTGGCAGCCCACTGGTCAGAGTTCTTCTGCTTCACCCATTCCTTAATCTTGAGGCTACCAGCATGTGATGAGACAGAAACTGGTGGTTTGGAATAGGGAAATGAATTGCTGAATCCCTCCCTAGCCAAGGTATATGCATCTGCATTACCCTAAGTTGCAATGTGACCAGAAACCCAGAAGAATCTAACCTTCTTTCAAATACAAAGGCCACATATTGCCTGTTGACATTCCCAGACCAGCTTCAATATCACCGTTGATGCCTCAAGAGCTCAAAAAACTGCTTGGTTATTGTAGCATATACAGACTTGCTCATCTGTTTAGACCCTTCAATACACCCCTTTGAACTGAAGAAGCTAAATCACAAAAACTTCTGGCTGGAACACTGTGGTATGTACATCAAATGTTGGGGACAGCTTCTTCCTTGGTCTCACCCCACATACACTTATCCTGGACCTGCCAACCGTTCTGACACCATTTGTGTATCAGATTTGCCTCCCAGATGAAGGGCTATGGGCCAAGTTGATGGGTGATATTCCTGTAACTGATCTTCACTTTCACAGGAGACCCATAAGGAACAAATGGTACAGTCTTACTGTGTCTCATCTGAAAAACATTAGCCAAGTAGGGTCCAGGCATTTCCTATGTCTGCGCACACATGCACACAAGCAATGCATAACATCACAGACTCTGCTGGAACTGGTCACTTTTAAGTAACAAACCCAAATCTCATGACTACTAACTATATATACAAAATTTATTTATTGCTTAGAACTGACACATTTTATTGTAGTTAAGCAACCTGTTGCATTGATATACTCTTCACAAACTACACCTCCGTCCACAATGGAACTTATTTAAGTTGTATCGCGGATGGAGGTATAGTTTGTGAAGACACAACATTTAGATACACATGACCTAGGATTCAATATCATCATGTATCCAGTTTCCATGTCTGTTTCTTCTGGCTCTTGTGATCTGTCACTACCACATGCATCCCACCAACACTGCAACAACACAACAGTTTAATGTGCAATTTAACTATACTCTGCCAACTGCCTATGTTAAGTAATATCAAAAGAGAAATCACAGGATTATGAATAAGGGCTGATTTACTATACCAATTCTAAACACAAGACTTTAATTATATGTCCTAAAAACATTACTAACCATTTTTAATTATCTCATTAGTCCCAAATTTATCTATTTAGAATTATTTATCACAGCAATCAGCTATATCACCAAGAAAATTAACTTTCTGATACAATTACCCACTGTTCAATAATAATAACACCAAATTCTGCAACTGGACATGGATCCTGAGTCAGTCCAATTCATCTCCATCCTCACAATCAATTTTAATACAATCCTTCCTTCACCTTCTTGATGTCCCAAGAGGTTTTCATGCCAAAGCTTTGTATACATTTCTTGTCTCCTCATTTGTTAGAGATGCAAATAGCTTCAATTGTTGCGAGACAGCACAAAAAATTTCTTTCATATAACTTGTCAAACAGAACAGACTTCCAACAAAAGGGCCAGTATTTCTAAGCGAGATATCTATGGTACATATTTGAAGTGTCTCATAACCAAGTAAGAAAAACAGTAAAATTATGTCTGTACTTAATTAAGAAACATGCCATGATGGTACAGGGGGTAGTGGGAGTATAGTCCCATGAACTCTTAGCCTTGGCACTAGATGGAGTTATGTGGTAAGTTCACAATCACTTACTCATGGGGAAAGAATACTCAGACAACACTGGATAGGAAGCTGGGTGAGCCCAGAACCTGTGTAGATGCAGTGGTGAAAAGTCCCTAATCCTCCCAAGAACCAAACCCTGGTCATCCACCCCACAGTCCAGTCACTACTTACTGAGTTATCCTACCTCTACGTGTAGTAAAACTCCAATCACTCAAAGTTCAAGGGTTCAAACATATTTGTTGAAACTTGCGCAAATTTGAAGTTTCTCACCCCCACCCCCAAAACAAACTATCATTCTTCAACATAGAACAAAACATTAAATTACTGTGAAATGCATTATACACTATGGTGCACTTGCAATTTGTATCCAGTATTTTACTAACTGTACTGCAGATTTTTACAAAAACATTATTCTGTATTTCAGCATCCTGTTGTCCATCTTTATTAAACGTCTATATATTTAGTCTGTCAATAATGCAACAATCATTAAAATATTCACCATTCAACACCAACACAACATGTTTCAGCTCCAGACAGCCATCCTCGGGTGTTTCGATGCATCTTCACTAGTGAAGACACCAACACACGATGCCCGAGGGAACAACACACACACAATGGGCATATTGCAGATCACAGATGTAGCTGCTGAAACAAACTGTCTGGAATATACGCATCACACAGTTTTAAACAGGTGGACAACGCCCCTTATGAGGTGGATAGGATTTTACGTAAGATTTTAAAAGTAGACTGTAACGCACAATTTTGGCGCGCATCAAAACAGTGTAACAGTTTAGCCGCAGTGAAACACCTGAGGATGGCCGTCTGTGGCCAAAACATGTCATGTTGGTGTTGAATGGTGAATGTTTTAATGACTGTTGCATTATTGACGGACTAAATACACAGACGTTTAAAAACATTATCTTATTCCACTCCTTACCATTGCTATTAATATGTACCTTATACTACCTGCTAATACTCATAATGGCTATTATGGGATGGGGAAGGGTGTGGATAAGAAATACTTGATCATATTTTTGAGGTAAGAAACTATTCACCATTGCTCTCAAGACTTTAAATATCAACGTAAAAGTATTTTACATTCTTGTTCCTCTCCTTATTCCTTGTCCTACTCCTCCTCCATTCCTTCAACTTCAATACAGATTGCCTAGTATTTTCAGTTATCCATATTAAGGAGCATATAAAATCATGGTGCTGAGTGGATAACTACAGAATGGTTGGTTCAAAATTCACAGTATTTTGAATAATTCAGTATCTAATTAATGAGGTTTTACCATATCACACTAAAGGCACAACTGGCTTGGTTTGGCATCAGATCAGAAAGCAAGAACTCATATCTATGCTGACATCAGCAGAACTCACCTGTTTAGGTTCATCTCTACACTGATTTTCGTTGGGCCTGTGACATCAAATAAATGCACCTGAAAAAAGGAAACAAAATGCTGCATCATAGTCATAGTATCTTGGCTTAGTACACATGGGTGTCATTCACATTTCAAAAGTTCTTCAGACATGAAGCAAGGCACTGTTCATCAATAATCCACAAATACAGTCACACACTCACGACAGCCAAGTTAATGATAACCAGTGTAGTGCATAAATGCGTTTGTGTAAAACACACTGAAATATAATGGGTCAGTGGTTTTTCTCAAGTGGCTAGAAGATTTAAGTTGTGTATCTGAAACACTGATGCCCAAAAGATATGAGATATTATTAGAGGCACTGATAACTTCTTCCAATAATGTCTTTCTGCCGGTGACAGTTTTAAGCTGATCAAAAAGTTTCCTATCATTACTATGACTCGAGGTTTATCAGACTGTTCACAAAAACCCATACCGTGTTTTTTTTATTGCTAGTGGGGTGGGACTAAGTTCCTTGTACTGCGGCCACTTCTGGCCTATTGTACCAGCCCCAGATGATAGGTGAGGGTGATTGTGAAGCAATTGGTGGAATGAAGATTGGCAGGGGAAACCAAAGTACTCGGAGAAAACCTGCCCCAGCACCACTTTGTCCACCACAAATCCCACTTGACCAGACCCGGGATCAAACCCGGGCAGCCACGGTGGGAAACCAGTGCTAACCGCTTGAGCTATGGCGCAGCCTCATACTGCATCTTACCCCAAGCCAACTACAATATTCAACAAATTTCTTTACAATTCGTTTAAATATTATCCTTGCATCTGTTCTTATGCCTTCCAAGTAATCTGAAGTGTTATCTATTAAAATTATGTATGCATTTCTTGTTCTCCCACCTCATCCTTCTTGATTTAGTTGTCCTAGAAACAACAACATGCAAAAAAAAACATATAAGTGTTAAATTTCCCCATGACGTAATCTTCTCCAATCCCCAATTCACGTTCCTGTGACCACATGTTCTTATCAATATAAAACAAAATACAAGTGTCACAATGACAATTATCACCTTTCCAATCAGAAGTGGTGCTCCACATGAATCACCATCAGCCTCATATAGCTCTACTGTAATATCTGACTGTTCTGATGTGATGGCGTGTGTCTGAACACGTTTCACCGGTACTGGCGTCATTGCTGGAATGATGCACTTGAGTCCTGTTTCCTCAGACACCTACAATTACACCAGCACCAAGAAAAATTACATGTATCTATCCTTTCTGACAGGTTCTTATGTATTTTATAGTAACATTTCGTTGGCAGAGGTCATACAGCAATGAATGGGATGAAGGTGACCATAGACAGTGAACAGTAAAGAGCTAGAAAGAGGCATTCAAGACGCACTCCTGAAATTCGCAATAGCAGTCAGGAAATTCACAAAGAACTACTCCAAGCCATGACAGTCAGTAATCTGACAAAAATTCAAGCCAAATATGTATCAAACACATATTCAAGGGTACTGCCACTACTGAAACCTACTTACTTGGCCCCATCTGTATTACTGATCACAGTGAACCAAAGGGAAATAACAGGAGTTATCATCAGCTTCCAAAGTCATTCAATTTACATTATACTGAGAAATGATCCAAGTAACAAAATACATCTTAACAAAATTTAACTTCTTATAACACCAATTTTTCACACCATGGACTTTTTGAGAAATTTTATATGCAATATTTCCCTGAATATAAGACAAACTCTTCCTTGAAAATTTAAATTGATGGTGAAACAATTTCCTTTTCCAACTGCAATACTGTCAGATTTCTCTCTAACTACATTTCTTCTTCTTCTTCCCCTCATTCTCCTCCCACCCCAAATCATGGCACATGCAATGAACCCTGTTCTGACAACACTTTTTCCAATGTCTTCCTCAGCCTTAGGCATGTACAAGTACAAGTCCCTGCCATGTTCAGGCTTACCTTCACACATATAGGCCTGGAAACAGCAGGGACTTCTATGGCAAGATGTTCACAGTCTGGATCAAATGGACGTGCAAGGTAGCTACCCTGCTTGGCTGCACCTGTGGCAATCACTTCATCAGGAGAGATACAATTTAACATCTCAGCATCAGGAAACAGTTCCCCCACTGCTTGTTGCAGTTTTGGCATCTTCATGGCTCCACCACTCAGGATCAACTGCATTCATTTCATAGGAGCAAATTCAATAACACGAACGAAAGAGATTAAGTAGTTGATGAGTTTAATATCAGGCTCAACTGCATTGATTATTCATGACTGTCAACACATTAAACAAATCAAAAATTAAACTTCCATTTAACTTTCATTTGTGACACCTCCTTAACACAAGATACAATGGTTCCACCATGATGAATGTCACCAGGGTCTCATTTGTTACAATACAGCCTGGTTTCATTCAATTCCGTGTGTTAAAAGTTACAAATATGACACTGATGCAAAATCTTGAGCTTATGTCTGCCAATTTAAATTAGTAGGAAATTTCATAGGGAAATACATCACTGAACTGCATAATTATTAACATTTCTGTGAGTCTTATTTATATTGCAGAATTTAAAGTACACATGGTGCCATAAGTTCTTCCCATAATTTAGCTGGTGACAAAAGATCACAATGGAGTGCTTGGTACTCCTGCTTCATATTCAGGAAGTCTGTTTGACTCTCAGAACAAAGAATGGTTGGCTGTGATTTTCTGTATTTTTCCACAGTCTTTAGAGGTTAAGGCTGGGACAATAATTTAAAATAGGCCTAACAATTTCCAGTATTCACTTTCACCCTCCTACATAATGCCACACAACCCTTCAAGAACTTAGCTAAACTAATGGATACATGTTTCAAGCCTTCTAACCTTATTCAGTCACCCACCTTGGCAATAATCTTGCTACTAAGTCCAGCCTTCTCTAATACTTCATGCACTGGTTGCAAGTACTCAGAAAGGTAGGATGTAATGAGGTTCTCAAAGCGAGCCCTTGTAATGTTGTAACTGAAGTCAACACCCTCGCATAATGACTCCACAAAACAATGGGCAGTGCTCACTGTTGACAGCACATGTTTGCAGGTCTCAGCTGCACTGCGTAACTTCACCATTGAGCGACGACTTTCCTGTGGGTCCAGCTTCCAACGACTACAGATAATAAAATACATCATTTAAATACTTAATATCATAATGTTCCTTCGCAAATGCTTCAAACTCAGGTCAAACCACATTTCTACAATCTGCATAATCACATAAAGTGACTTAATGACTGACTGTTGTGTTACACGATAACACATTTTCAATTGTAACAGTGTAGCTTACAAGTTGCAAAGAGCTGCTAACTCTGTGGAGGCACTTGGGATTCAACCAAATACATACCAAGAAAATCTGTCAAGAATGAAAGATGTTTTCTACATGGTCCATGTGAAGCTTATATAACAAGTACCTGTTATAGCTTAGACAAGACTAAGAGACTAGTGCAGAGTGCTTATAAGAGATGTGAAAGCAGTCAGTCAGTTCTGAGTTCTCGGTAGAAGACAGCCACAGAAAGTTTGTCACAGAAGACAAGAAGACTTCATAGTGATTTGAAGTGGTAGATTCAGTGTTGAGATACACTGCCAGGACACTAGTAAAGACCGGGTATCCTAGTGCGTGTGCAGCGGTGCACTGGAGAGTGCTGCATGCCTGTATTCAAATGTGATTAAGAGAGACTGTAACCAAAGTGCTAATAAATCCAATCATCCAAACTAGAATCTGTCATTCCTGTCACACGTAATACCCTACAAATGACAGTATGTAAGCAGGCAATATAGAGTTATCAGTAATAAAAAGAATGAATTGAATGCATATAAAGAGAAACAAACTTAACAGCCTGTTTATCTGCTCAAACATTTACTTTTTTCTGCATATACGCTGTGATACTGTGGTAAAAAAAATTATGGCTTATAACAAGGACTTCATTATAGTGACAAAATCCATTGGAATCATCAAGTTTTTAATGCTGTGTATATGTAAAACGACTGCACAAAGTAAGTGCTTTTTTCTTCCAACTTCTTCATAGTGAATGATACATATCCAACCGCCACTGCTTTCCAGTAACTTTTTACATCAACTTTACTTGCAGTTTTGCTTCCAAAATTATTTGTGGCTAGCAGCTTGTAATGGTCCCATTAACCCACCCTTTCTATCCTTCTCCAGAAAAAAGTCCACATTCTGGACTATAGCTGTAAGCAGCTAACCCCTCCATAGGCCTCAAAGTCAAATCCATAGAGAATAAATTCCTATTATATGACTTCAAACTAAGATTTAATTTCATAGGGCCCCCCTTCATACTAGACCAGCACAACAAATACTTCCTTACTGTCTAAATTCGCTTGCCAAGTAATCAGCCAGTATCCTGGTAAACTTGTTGCCTCCAAGATTCGATTTGTGCACAGTCCCAGATATGGTGTACATGCCAGCATTGACCTGAACCACTGTCACATCCAGTGTCTCACCGCCCAGCCGGTACACAAGGCAGAAACTGCAACCAAATCATTCATACAATACAACATCGTACAATATCTCCAAAACACCAGAAGCTTTCATTTTTAAACTCTGGCTACTGTGGGGGTGCATTCTACACATTCCACACATCAACTAGAACATGTACCTCTAAAGTCACTCAAAGAGACTGTAACGATGCAAGCTCCAGGCAGATATTCTGAATTTAATTGTTCAATTAGAGTTTAAGAGGAAATTCGCTGGGGACCATGTTAGATATAACTATCAATATTTTCAAACTGTTGTGTAAATTTCTGAACCAATGCAATGTTTCAGATGACACAGAAAGTGTATTTTTGTGTAGAGAAGGGCTTGTTAGAAAACTTATGTGAACACTTAAGCTGTTAAATGAATGTAAGACTTTGTTTCGAGATTTCTGCAAAATACGAGAAGATAGAAGCAATGAAGGTGATGGCACATCATCACACAATTATGTGCACCTGGCCAATAAAATATTTTTTTATTAATTACTAACACCAAGGTACTCTTTGAAATCACAGGATGAAGAAATCTTATGGGAGGACAAGCTTCAGTAGCATATTCACAAAAGCTCACCATCAAATCTAGCAAGTTAAAATCCAAGTTGCCACACTGTTCACAAACGGTTTCCCTAAATCTATTTTAATATAAGGATTTAAATCAAAATTTTTGTATACAATTCTTCTTTCCCACTCATCTAATTCTCTCTGATGCCATCACCTTAACACTATTATTGCATGGTTATTTTCTCTCTGACTCACAAGGTATGCAGCATAATATAAGTGTGAAAGAGAGAAAGAGAGAGCAATACAATTCTGTCTACAGCACTGATGCTACTCACTCTGAAGTAGCTATGCCAATTCTGATGAAACAACACTGTCAAATAAATAAATTATAAAAAAAAATAAATCTATGAGTATGGAACTAAATAAATAGATTAAGTCATTATCATGTGACAGAAGGCATATTTTTTCCAGTCCGCAGTACAGACCACCCACTTCCACATCAACAACCCAGAACTTTAACATGTGCAACCAGAAAAATGATAATCAGACAATATGTGATGAGCACAACTTATGAAGCTCATAAGCACATAATTTTTTCCATTATCATCTTTCTTAGGTCCAAATGTTTTATTACTATGAAGTGTACATTATTAAGTTCTTTCAGTGCTCTCAAATGGGTTAACAGTATACATTGTGCTATTTTCCCGCAATCTCTTTACTTCATATACCTTCACATCCTCAGCAGTCTTAATCCCAAGGAAATTCCTTTACCTACTATGGAATGAATCTGGTGATGTAAACAAAATAACCCTTGTTATAAGTCATTACTCAGAGTCTCCCATGCATTAGTCAAAGATAGAAGTTTGTATATGCTGATCACATACTGTTCCTCATCCAAATTGGACAGCCCCACACCATAAGCAAGTACAGCAGCTGACGGTTCACTGATCACTTGCAGAACCTCAAAGCCTGCCTCCTCGGCTGACCGCATCACTGTCTGACGGCTGTTCTGATGGAAGTGCAAGGGAATGGTCAGCACTGCACGCAGATCTGCCTCTGAGCGTAAAGCACTGCTTGCAATATCTGAAACATAATTTTGTTTTACCAAAAATTGAGCCAGGATAGTGCAGTAAGTATAGCGACTGGCTATGAGCTGCACAACCAAGAGGTTGGAGTTTGAGTCACGGTACGGTCAAGAATTTTCTCTTCTCCACATTGTCCAGACCAGCTCTGGGGGTTCACACAACCTCCTATACAATGGTTAATGAGGGCTCTTTCCCCATGGGTAAAGCGGCCGGGCCCTGAAAGTGACCACTCACCTCCAAGTAGTGCCGAGATGAAGAAAATACGGATCTATACATCCACTCCCTATATGCCTTCATGGCGTAGTGCTTAATTAGCTAAGCACAGGGACAACTCTGCCCTTACCCAGAAATAAAAATGACAAAAATAACTTACAAAGGGTAAAACACTTCACAAAGGTCTTTTTTTTCTATCACAAGTTCTGCAATCTAATAAATCCAAACATGGGGTGTAACCCATACGGGGTGTAACCCATACTCTGAAAGTGAAATGAGCTGGCATGACAGTTTTGCTACAGTCAGATCCAGCTGATGCTCATAAGATACTTTCCTGACACACAGTAATTCATACATATATAATGGAATGGAAGCACCATGTGAAGTCATTTAATTCTGAACATCTCATGCTCCTTTTCTATGGCACAGAGGCCTCTTCTGTAAGTGTTACTAAAGTTTTAATCTATTTTCTGCATCGCCCACATGTCTGTCCACAAATAATTACTTTCAAATCAATGAACTGATTTCTATGAAATCAATATGAATATCATGCACAAAGGAACTTCTATCCCTTAAGTGCTACTTTCCTCTACATAAGCGACCCTAGTGCCCTTTATTTCATGACCCTGAAATTTCACATGGTGATAGATCTACATTTCCATTTCAATTTGAGAAAAATAACTTACCAGCCAATGCCACAAGGAATGTGAGATCTGCATGGTGATATACCATATGCATGCAGGCAGTTTTATGTTAACATTTTTGTATGTTAAAAATTGTATACATGACACCAGTATGAAAATCATTCAGTGGGAATTTATGTTAGTGGAAATTATACAATTACGGCAGAATCGCCTGAAACAATTTTTTGTACATATATTAATAGTTAAATGTACTAAAATGCCGTTAAGGCTAGGGCCACACGAGCGCACAAAATGTGTCAGTTGTAACGAACGTCGTGATGTCCGTTGTAGAAATAAACAAGAGAGGCGAATGCTATGCTTTCTTCTGGCTCTACTGCAGACAAAAAACTATGCACAGCATTCTGCAACTGTGTGGTGTCCTCAGCAACGTCCATCATAAAGTACGTTCGTTACAACAGATGCATTTTGTGCACTCGTGTGGCCCCAGCCTATTATCACTATAATTGCATACTTATTGAAGGAAAAAATATTAAATTAATTAATTAAATTAAACAAATAGCTTACATATGTACATTACATCACTTTGAATTACGCTTTCCAGCCCTGTCATGTATTGACACTGATCAATCCAGCACTTTACAGCTGATTTCATGAATTTGATTATAAAGATTTGTATTTACATTTATTCACTGATATTTGCAAATTTGTAATGTTAATTAAATTTCACTGTGTATAACATCACATCTGGGTCTGCAATGGGGTCCACTCAGCGTCGTGAGGATAACTGTGGAGCTACTGCAAGGAAATAGCGGCTCCCATCTAGAAAACCAAAATTAACGGCCGTGGGGATTCATTGCACTGACCACGTGACACCCTCTATCCACTAAAAGTTGGCACTAACTTCACCGACAAGCGGCAATCACTCAGTCGGTATAGTTCACTTGCGGACTCAAGCTACGGAGTTTGTTTGCTGTTTGATATCACATCCCATTGTCTCATACATGTACAGTGAGATTTTGGCTTTTTAAGTGACCGCCTTGCAACAAACATAAAATCAAGGAAAGCGCAAAATTCAGGGAAATATTAATGTTACAACATAAATAAAACTGCAGTCTTTATAACATAAGTTGGGAAAATCATTTAAAATATATGTGTATTAACACCAACGATGCAAATGTAACTGAAGAATATGGTTCTTGGTTTATGTTACAATGGTTTACATCTGCTAAGTTTATGTAACATCAGTAAGATGAGATGCTGATTACAACCAGTGAATGGAAAGGATATGGAAGGAAGTTGTCATGGCCTATTTCAAGGCATTATCCCAGCATCTGCCTGGAATGACTGGCAAATATGGTACATACTTAGCTACACTATTTCTTCAAGCAGTTAGTCTGTTGTTTCTTTCCTTCTTCAGCTCTCAGTATGTATAATTCATTTTTTGCTTTGCTGCACACTACAGTCACACTGTTCTTGGTATCAAATTGATGTACATACTTTCTCACTGCTTCCATTCCTTTCAGTGCACCCAAGAATGTCACTTCATATTCTGCAGCTTCCTCTTCCACATCTGTTTCTTCTTCTGGCCTAGTCAAATGTTGATCTAAACAAGACTGACACTCCAGACTCTACAGACATCAAGAGCACTGTCACATGTTGGGTAATCCTCAGACTGCATTCCAACAGTTTGTAAACTGTACCAGTCATTCTCTTCATCTTCAGCGAGTTTCACTACATGGCCATCATTGCTACTGTCATGATCAAGCAAGAAACCACACTTAACTAAGTAGTTCTTGATTGTAGTAGGCATTACCAGTCTTCAACATTCTGCTATTAAATGCATTGCAGACAATGCACCCAGCTTCATCTGTGCAGCACCTTGAAGCCGTCCCCCATCTATCATGGCTGCAGTCTTTGAAATCAGCTGCTTTCTGTACTGGCATTTGAATGCATGCACAGTTCCCAAATATGAAGGCTATACCTGGGTGGCATAGTTAACTAAAAAAAAAAAGAACTTTGATGTTGATGAAAAATGTAGTGTTCTTTAGATAAGCGCCACACTGATAAAAGAAATACTTTGTGATTTTTAGCACCCAGTTTTCTAACCAGTTGTGTGAGGCCATATTAAAATATGTTGGTGGTCATCCAAGAATTTGGATTACTTTCATATTTTGTAGGTAGTCTCTTGACATTCCTGAAGCAATGTGGACTCCTACATTTTCCAATTACTACAGTGGTAGTTTATCACTACCATTTTTATTGCATCCAAGGAGCAAAGTAACCCACTGTTTAGATTTTGTACCATGCAACAAGTGTCCTTGAGGAAAGAGCGCTTTGCTAGATTGTAGACTGAAAAGGAGACCTTTCTCATCAGCATTATTTATGTTACAGAGGCCATAACCTTCAATTTCTTTCAGTAATCAGTAATTTTTCCAGTCTTCTAAGTTTCTGAATCAACATTCCTACTCACACCTGATAGATTTCTGTACGCAAAGTTGTGTTTCCTGTTAAATCTACTGACCCATCCACTGAAAGCTAAAAAGTTGGCTACTTCCAGACAAGCAGAAATGTGTAGGCCCTTCTTGTTGAGGTGGGTGCCATCAATGGAAGAACGACACTCAATATGCTTGCTTGAAATATGCAGATGTGCAGATTCCAGTTTCTCCAGTGGTGAATATTTCAGCGACTTCCATTTATTTGAGAAGGGCTGCACTGGACGCAACTTCTTTCAATTTCTACAAGTTCTTCACAGTTCTTAAACCTGAATGATTAATTATTTCATAAAATCATTAACCTTCAGCTGATAGCATGGAGTGTAAGTAGGAATGATACTATTCTAATCACACCAACTACAATGAAGGTCAGATAAGCAGAAGAAAGGAGTGTGTCAATATGAACAACTATCACATTCCACTCAGTTAAAGAAGCATGTGAGCAATAAACAATATCCAACCATCTCTTGTACATGGTGAAGTCTGTAACAACTAAATCAGCTGAGGAAAAACAGTTATTGAAAAACACATTAAATGGGTAAAAAGTTTTACAACATTAAAATGGTGCTTCATATCCAGGAAACCCTTTTATGCAGGATGCACATTAAATAGGTCAGTAATATATTGGCCTTACGGGGAAAATTTTGGGACTTAACTTGAATCCACAACATCTACATGTCCTTCCACCAAGAACCAGAGGGTTAAGAACAGGAGGGCTATTTAAACAAATTATTATTAGTTATATCAGTTTTTATATATAAATATATGTTCATTCAGACGTCAAAGTAAAGCACTAACTTTCAGTTTCTACAGCATGCTGTGCCGTAAGTTTTCACATTTATATCACAATTCTGACAATCCTATCACAATCCACACTATAAATTTTTGTTCATCTCTTAATGCCAAAGACCAAGTTTCACACCCATACAAAACCACAGGCAAAATTATAGCTCTGTATGTTTTAATTTTTATGTTTTCAGACAGAAAACAAGAAGACAAAAGGTTCCAAATTGAATGGTAGCAAGCACTACTCAAATTCAGTCTCCTCTTAATTTCCTCATGAATCAAATTTTTTCCTCTTGCTTTCATTCCCATATAAATGAAATTTACATTTTTAAAGGATATATTCACTAACTTAGTGTTATGATTTCTTCCTCCAGTCCAGTGATGAGGCATCAACATATTCTTAGTTTTCTCTGCATTTACCTATAGACCAACCTCATCCTTCTTCTATGGCGCAACAGCCCGATGTCAGGCCTTGGCCTCCCTTATCAAGCCCCTCCATTCCTCTCTTTCCTACGCTGCTCTCTTCCAGTTCCTTACGCCCATTAACTTCTTTGCATCTTCTCCCACCGCATCAATCCATCTAGCTCTTGGTTTCCCAGCACATCTCCTACCACCTATTGTACTATATAATATTTTCTTTGGGATATGCTCCTTATCCATTCTCTGTACATGCCCAGCCAATTGCAATCTTTTAAGCTTTATCGTCACTGAGATCTCTGACTCCTTATATAATTTGTATAACTAGACCAACCTCCTTACTAGCATCAATTAGAACGTCTCTGATTAGAAAAATACGTACGTACATCAAAATACTACAGTAGTAAAACTGAGACAAAGCAACATAGCTACAGTGAAGGGAGTCACCAAAAGGTACATGAAGTGGCAAAGTTGCAGGTTATTCTCTGTTGTTGTAAACAAAAAAAAATTAGAACAAAATGGTTCTAACAAACCCACAAGCAGCTCCACTGGATTAGACCTTCAATTGTGCTGGTAAGTCCATCAATATATTGGCAAAATATAGCATAACATTAGTGCAATCTCTGGGCTCGAAGTGTTAAAGGAAAGAAGAGCTCCTAATCATTCAAAAGATGTTGCTTACCATACATTTTCTTAAAGATGCAGGTTGCTACATCTTCAGGTGTGAAACCGCATATTTTATCATCCTTCTTTATCTCATATTTCACGGTTCCTTCCTCATGCTTCACCTTACATGCATTTGCATTCACCACCTCCTCAAGTTCAGTCTGCTCTATTTTCTCATTCAGTAGCTTCTTGTTGTGTACTACAATTGAGGGTGCATTCCTTGCAAGGCCCGACTTTGCTGCCAACCCAACAATCTGCAATTCAAACAGTTTACATATTTGGGACACTGATGCTTATCTAATTTCCTCATAGCATTTACCTAAAGATTATGATACTAACAGTACAGTTCTACCTCACATATACTGTCTCAAACTTGGTTCATGAGGGAAGAGAGATCGTGAGAGTACCTCCTTGATTTGATCATTGTAATCAGACTTAAAAAACAGTACAAGTTATGAAGCTCCCCATTATACAGTTTTCTTCAATATCCTATCATTTCATCTCTCTTCAGTCCAAATATTCTCCTCAGCATCCTGTTATCAAACACCCTCTGCCCATGTTCCTCCTTTAATGTCAGAGACCAAGTTTCACACTCATACAGAACCACAATCAATGTTATAATTTTGTATATTCTAATTTTTACGTTTTTAGACAGCAGAAAAGAAGAAAAAAGCTTCTGAACTGAATGGTACCAAGCATTACCCAAATTCAAACTCCTTTTAATTACCTTCTGAGAAAAAAAACTGATTTCTTACTGTTGTTCCCAAATATTTGAACGATGCCACATTTTCAAAGGTTCTGTTAGCTATATTTATGTCATGATTTGCCCCAGCATCTGGTGATAAAACCGCAAATATATTTGGTTTTCCCTGCGTTTACTGCTAGACCAACTTCCTTACTATCGTCAAAGTTTCCATGTTTTTCTTTATGGTATCTATGTTATCTTTCAACAGATCCACGTCATCAGCATAGACCAGCAGCTGATGTGTCCAATTTAATTTCAGTCCAACCTCATTTTCCTGGACCTTCCTAATGGCATAGTTATATCAAATAAAAAAGTTTTTAAATTCTTTGTGAAGTCCATGTGAAGTCATATATCAATACATTTCATATTACGAACTACTGTGAAAGGATTAACNGGAAGGAAAAAAAAAAGCCGATATTTTCTAAAGTGACACAGCTTCCACATTTTTATATGGAAGTGAAACCTGGATCTAAGAGAACAAAAATTTCAGTAAAATGCAAACAAAAAATAAGTTTTTAGTAAGTCTGAAAGGATTTACCATATTAGACAAAAATAACAATGAGAATAAAAAAAGAAAATGACTCATTAAATAGAAACACAGAAAGACTACACAGGAAAACCATTAATCCCACCTTAACAGAATGGACAATAAGAGACTCCCAAAACTTACTAATCACTACAAATGAAAATAATACAGCGACACAATTCAAAAGATGACGATGAAGTCTGAAGAGGCTAATGCATAACCCAGGGAGGATAATTTAAAAAATGAGGATCTTTCTGTGCATTTCTTTGGTAGGGGAACTTAGAAGCCTAATCAAGAACTGCATCTGTGGCTACCTGTATACCAGTTTGTACATTAATACTGCACCATCAAAGTCTGTGAAGAGTTGCATACATATTAGACTTACTGTTTCTGACTCATTAAATGCCACCACTGCAGGGGTTACTCGGTCTCCAGCATCATTTGCAATCACCTCGATCTTTGTATCCTACACACAAATACAATACAAACTCTACAATGTTTCATTATTATTTGCACAGCATTGTTCATTATAAATGTTGGAATGAAAACAGTACAAGTTCTCGCTCAAAAGCAATATAGTATATTAGCATCATATGCAATTATGAGTTAGCCCTGGGTAACTTCCTCTCAGTCACAAGTCCATAGATCAAATACTATGTGGCAATCCTGATGAAATTTTCACAGCTTCTTTGAACATTTTTAAAACACAAGGACCATGTACTTGGGCCCCTTTAATATGCAGCCACACAACTCCCTCCAAATCTGTCACAAAATTTGAATTCGGTTTGCTAGATTCAACATAAATAAAATATAACATAAAATAAATTAAATGAAACTAAATGAAACCAAAATACCTAATTTGATTTGCCAAAAAATTCAAATGTGTTGGAGAATTAGAAAAATATATACTCATACAAACATAAAGACATATGTTTGCTTTAAATTCACTAACTACAGATGTCTGTCAGTAAATGATCTAACTACATAAAAATATGCATAACTTCTGCTTTCAGTGTTTATAGGATTTATAGAATGTAAATAAATTCAATTCAATTACTCAAATTGCATGTTGAAGCCATTCCAACATTTCAGGATGCACAGTGATCACCTATGTCAGGGCAGATGAGGCAGAAAGGTGAGTGGGTGGGGGTATGGGGTGTAGGGCTGTCCAATGGAACATAACCATGTGGTTAACCTTTAGCACACTGGTTCTAAAATTAAAACACAATTTTTAAGCTTCTAAAGCACCAAATTTTGTTAAAAATATTGGACCTAAATTTTTAGGCTAGAAAGAACTAAATTACTAAGAATGAATCCATATACATACTTGTGTGCAAAGTACTGAAATAGCAGCATTTACACATGCAATTAGTGATCATTCCTTTGCAAACATTTGATGTATTTTCATACATTTTCTTGTCACTTCTTCAAAATATGGGAAATGAGTAGGTCCACACTCAGTGTAGCAAGGACTGTAAGACAGTGCTCTGAACTGTGTCTTCACAATAAAAATACTTTCTCTATGACTATGGTTCATGTGTGTTTCATATAACTAGGCAAATAACTATTGTTTCTTTAACAACAAAGAGCCATTGGTGTCTTTATAGGAATTTGATAAGGCTGGATAGATTATGTAATGGTTCACAAGTTATTAGCCAAAAAGAAAAATATGTTTCTACTCATATTGTTCGCAGATGCATTTGTACCACTTCTGTGTTCAGTTATTAAATAGCTTAAAGCATATTGAAAGGTGTTTTTAATGCTTTTATACAATTATGTGGAGTGTAGCATAGCGACTAACTATGGGCTGGAGGGTCAAAGGAATGGAGTTTGAGCATGGTAGGGTCAAGAATTTTCTCTTCTACATGTTGTCCAGACTGGATCTGAGGTCCACCCAACTTCCTATCCAATATGTTCTTGGGGTTCTTTCCCCAGGGGTAAACTGGCCAGGTCGTGAAGCTAGTGCCAAGGTCAAGAAAATGTGGATCTATACATCCACTCCCCCACATGCCTTCATGGTGTAGTGCTTAATTAGTAAAGCACAAGGACAACTTTACCTCTGTGGAACAACAAGGAAGAACAGCTCCTTGAGAACAAACATTTCAAAATCTTTGCAATCAGACCAAAAATGGCTATAAGACCATTCCAAACTTGTCATCAGGGTGAATTTTGTTGGAAAGACTGGGAGATCAAGAGACTGTGCTGACCCCTTGTGTTGGGGACACAGGTTACTAGGCTAGACTTCAGCAATCGCTGGCCAGTTCAATCCTCCAGATCATATTGCTATATTTTTTCCACATAAGCAATAATAAATAAAGGAAAAATAAAGTGTAAGAAATGTGTTGTGGAGCTTTTTATTGGTGACTATTTTGATGCTTACCGCTCTAAATCCGACCTATAATCTACTATCTATGGGAGTTCAGAGTCTTCAGAAACAATATTATTATATTTTACCACCAAATATTATTTCATTTTATTGCTAGTGGGGTAGGACTAAGTCCCTTATACTGCGGCCACTTCTGGCCTATTGTACCAGCCCCAGATGATAGGTGAGGGTGACTGTGGAGCACCTGGTGCAATGAAGATTGGCAGGGGAAACCAAAGTACTTGGAGAAAACCTGCCCCAGCGCCACTTTGTCCACACACAAATCTCACTTGACCAGACCCGGGATCGAACCCGGGCCGCCGCGATGGGAAGCCAGCAACTAACCACTTGAGCTATGGTGCAGCCTTTCACCAAATAAGTATGTAACAGAAAAGATTTATTTTGCTTGTTTCCAGCATGGAGCTGGGTATTAATATGAACAAAATTATCTTATGGATTGCCAGAGAGGCGTTAAATATAAATTAAAGTCTAGGCATGCTTAGACAGGTTGACAAAGGTGAAGGTAAGGCAATATTGAAGGAATAAAGTTGTGACTATTTCCAAACCCAGTTCAATTCATAATCATGGTTGAAATGTATTGTCATCCAATGGTAACACCTCAGGTGTTCTATATTGAGAAAAAGTCTGACACTGTGTCACCATACTACTGCATAATACTAACCTATAACAAAAACCTTATATAAACTAAATATAAGTGACAGCACTCTGCATAATTAAGACTCTGTATTTATTCATGTAATAAATTAAGTTAACATTAACCTTGAACTAGAAAGCCTGCCACTCGGCCTTGAAATGAGCAAGTAAATCGAATTTGAATACTATTATTTACACACAGCTCACACCTGTACACAACGCATACTTATTCAAAAAAAAAATGAACCTCATATTTGAACTAGACCTGTGCCTGGAGAAGAAACTCTAATTACCTCTTATTTACATTTCATTACTCAGCCTAAAGAATATATACGCTAACCACAAACACAAGAATACCACCTTACTATACACATTATCAAACTTCAACAAACTGTGATAATACATTAGTCAATATACGAATGACTGTATAAGGGGTGGGCCTTCTCGGCCCTTGCACCGCGACCTACAGTGATCTATTGTGCTTCATTAGTCAATATAAATGTTATTAAACGCTAATATCATACTGAATGTCACATGGTGCATGGAACATAACCTACATCAAAAGACCAAAATCAAAGCCCCGCAAACTGTATCAGATAATTCCGTAATTCACTATTAATTACTCTCAATAAATTAAAACTGCTTCATCAAGTAACAAATATACCTTAAATAAAGCCAAGCATGCCGACGTATTCCCAATGTGAATTCCAAATGCTGCCGCCATTTTCTGTCGCCGCTGGGAACAACAACGTGTGAAGACACAGAACACCACACCACAGGTAATAGAAAGACAGACAAGTCAAAGCTGATTATTGGCACCGTGGACATTCGAATATTCGAATACGCCATCTAATCCAGTGTTTCTTGTAACTACATTAGAAGTCTGGCGCTGCCATATAAAGCTTTCCATTACTGAACTGGAATATGCATACCAGATTTTCTGTATTCATTATATTCTTTTTAGGTATGTTATTTTTGCCACATAGTCCTCTGCATTACTGAACTTGGATATGAATACATACCAGACTTACAGTATTCATTATATTTTTTTTAGATATGTTATTTTTGCCATATAATCCCTTCCATTACTGAACTGCAATACAAATAGTTATCAGATTTTCAGTGATCATATCTTTAAGATATGTTATTTTGCCATATCATCTTCACAGAATGCTCACCATTACAAGTTGAAGACATGATGGAACATTGGACATCTACTTAACAACCACATACTCCAGTTTGAGGATAAATTCTATAAGCAAAAAAAGTGGGTATGGCAATGGAAAATTCACTATCTCCAATGATTAGCAACATATTTATGGGGCACTTTGAGGAAATAGCAGTGGATAGAGTAGACCACAAAGCCACTAAATGGCTGATATGTTGACGATGTATTTGTGGTATGTCCACATGGACCAGCAAGGTTACAGCAGTTTCTTCATCTCAACAGCATTAGACCTACCACCAGATTCAAAATGAAAGTTGAAGCTAATGATACTCTTCCATTCTTGGAGGTATGGGTTATGAAGCATGGTCCAAAACTGACCACAAAAGTGTACCAGAAGCCTACTCATCATACTGGTCGTTATCAGCACTTCAAGTCCAACCACCCACATCACATGAAAAAGGCTATCGTTCATAGCTTGGTCAACCAAGCAAAGGTCATATGTCAAAATCTGAAGGATTTCAACAATGAAATTTAAAAAAAAAAATAAGACAATCTGTTGCTTAATGGATATCCAAAGAATTCGTTGACTCCCTAATCAGGCCATCGACAAAAAAATCGTCCTTCTTCAGAAACAATAAACCAGGGCACTGTCATTATCCCATGTATTAAGGCCATTTCCGAAAAATTCAGACTCATCGGAAACTGTTTAAATCTGAGAAAAGTTTTCAAAACTAAACATGCCCTCTGTGGGACATTAATGAAAACTGGACTGGTCAGAGCTGCCCAGCAGAATAAGTAGTGTGTACAGCAACCCATGCAATTGTGACAGATGTTACACAGGTGAAACAAGCAGATCTTTAGAAGTATGCAATAAGGAGCACAAATATAATTTGACACACAGTCGGCTACAAAAATCAAAATTAGCCCAACACGCATAAGAACAAGGCCACAAAATAAGGTGGAATGAAGCAAAGGTCTTGCAGATTGAACCAAACACCACATACAGAAAATACTAGGAAATACCATTCGATCGGTCAACACAGATTGGACAACTCTCCCATCTGAACTCCCATTATCACAGCAGCAGTCCACGCATAACGTCTTAGTTGAGTGAAATGACAACAGTCTGAATGCACAGGGCTGGATTGGTGACAAACCATGGCTCATGACCATCAACACCTGGACATCCATGATCATTGCTAGCCTCGACATCACCGCAAGCTTGCCAGAAAATAAGCAGAATCAACGTATATTCTATAGACTGCATCAGAACAGACCCTTCCAATCCTGAAGGCCTTAGTGAATCTTACCCTGGGATGGAGCCCCATACACGTTTGTCAAAGGAATCATGGACAAGTTCACCCAGGGACTTGATGTCTTGCCCACCTCTGATGCATTCGTTCATCTAGGCTGGTGTGTTCTGAGGCTGGGTCAGGAAGAAGTATCAATGTTGAGCTCCCAGGCACGACATCGGTCGTCCACCTTATGGTGGCCAGTGACCAAGAGATACCAGCACAATGTGAGAGTCGTGTTAGCATGGCTAGAAAACTCCCTTGGAACAGAAAGTGGCATGGTAAATTGAGCCTTGAGACTCACAACCCTGATAGGCCTACATAGCCAGGACCCTAGTCAGGGTTCACTGGGAGGCACATGTCAAAGTCCTGCAAGCTACCCATCAAGACCAGACACTAATCAAATTATCCCCCACAGAAAACTGTAAACAGTCATTCTGAAATCACTCAATGCAATGGAACCATAGATGCAAGAGAACATCGTACTTTGTGAACAGTTACAGGATGTAGTTGCTATTGCCAGACCAAACTCAAGCGAGGGTTGGAATTGGATAACTTAATCACCAGGTTCACAGGTTCAAAGACGTCTTCACAACGACGAGCAGCAAGTACAAGTAGATTGGCAGTGTACCGTATTAGTGCTGGAGAAGCCCAATGGATCTGACAATCCCCAAGTGTGCTCCCTCTGGCAAAGGAGGCAGAAGTTGGCTATCGAACAAACAGCCCCATCTCCCATCATTTTCAGGAAGAAAAACGGTGACCTCCATTTCTGTGTGGACTACGGGAAGTCACGTTATATCACTATGGAAGACTGTTTCCCATTGTCAAGGATTGATGACAGTGGACACCCTCACCAGTGCCCAAAACTAACCCTACTGGCCGAGGCCACCAGCAATTTACCAGACCAACTGAGTCCATTTCAGAACTCAGTCTGAGTTGTGAGACAGAAAAATATGGTCATGGGTCCCAAAACCAAGAATGATTGTTCTCATGAATGCCAGCAATGATTTACCCAACAGACCAACCAAGCCAGTCAATAAAGTGTAGTTTGTTATGATGGCCATGGGTTCCAAGTGGCCTGAAACCAAAAATGACTATACTGCAGAAGTCCAAAAGAAATTTACCCTACCCTCCAACCAAATGAGCCAGTCTCATAACCCAGTATCATGAATGAGAAATATGGTCATGGGGGCCTGAAACTAAGAATGACTGTGCTGGAGAAGTCCAGCAGCAATCTTTCCCACTGACCAAGTCAATCAAGAGTCACAGGCAGTGCCGGGCCATGAGCATGGAAGAAGGGAAATCACCCTATGAGAAGTCACTACGAAGCATTGACTAGTGAAAACATACTGTGTACTGTAGTTATGTGTAGTGTCTATATTAATACATGTTACAATTACTTGTAGCTGAGTCAATAAATTCAATAACCAATACAAACCCCATGTTTAGTCATTAACACATGACAATATTTATTTTTCATGTTTAGTCACCAAGCACGCTGCATGTTCCCAACCAGCTCGTTGAACAGACTTCACTTCAGGAGCAACACCTCACAAATGGGACCACATATGTATGCTGTTACTACAGTGGTACATAGTGCAATACAAGTTAATCATCTTATAATGTCAAGAGTACAATTTATGATCACCAATATGTAACATTCGCCGGTCTTTCTTTCTTCTCACTTTTTTCTTACATCCAAATACCATCCCCAATATTTTGTTCTCGAAACACATTCAATCTGTGGTCTTCCTTTACACTGAGAGGTGTTGCTCACTCATACAGAACAAATAAAAGCTTCATATATTTTAATGACTGTTATAGATGGTATATGGGAAAACACATGATTCTGAACTAAACAGTGGCAGGCATTTCCCAAATTTAATCTGTTCTTAAATTCATCATGGTATAATTTCTAATCCTTATTTCATTCCAAAGGATTTGAACTTTGCTATATTTGAAAAGGATTTATCAACAGATCTTATATTATTATTATTTTGTCCTGTATTCTATTACTTAGACATAAACATATATGTATTTAGTTTCATATGTGCTCCCTTTTGGATCAAGTTCCTCTCTATGATGCCACAGTAAAAACTCCAACAGACTGACCACTTCCACAACTTCCTTGAGCTGTTACACTTCCTCCTCCAGTACACTTCAACGTATTCCTTCCTATATTATATTATTATATTCAAGCATCCTGTTTAACTCTACACAATGTATGACACAAACTCCATCCTAAGTGCAACAATTTATTGTAGTTCTTTTGTCTTCTTTTCTTCTACACTACATGTTTCAGCCGTAAATGGACATCATCAGGTGTATGCTCTCACGTAGCTGTTACACTGCATATAGTTTAAAATTTAAAAACACCAGCTTTCTTAACTGTTCATTTCTCCATTGTTAATAGGTCCCAATATATCAGAATCCTCTTGCTGATATTTGTCAGATATGTATAAAATCTTTGTTAATTTACATACATCAATTTGATTTTTGAATTTTGGTATTTTTAAAATCTTCAATTTAAATTTAAATTTTTTTTTATTTTTTTTTTTAATTTACGGCTGAAATATGTAGTGTAGAAGAAAAGAAGACAAAAGAACTACAATAAATTGTTGCACTTAGGACAGAGTCTGTGTCATACATTGTATTCCTTCCTGTTGCTTAGCCCTTCTGTTCACATAAATGATGAAAGAAATGACAACCTGATCTTTGCTGGCAATGAGCACTTTTGGCTCAGTGATATATGCTACTGAAACTGCAAGGGAATACAGCAGTAAGCAGAGACTGGGAGGTCTCAAAAGCTATCTTTATTACCAACAATTACATCTGTTTCCATGGCCTCAGTACAGTGAAGAATACAGTTTGTGTTCTTCGTTAATTTTAAACTAAGAAATTGGCATCATCTTATATAAGTAGCTGAACTGTTCCTTCCATCTTCAAATCCTTCTGAGTCTCTTGGACCTTCCTACTGGTGTATTCTAAACAGAAGTTGAAAACTGTTTCAGCCATTTTGCACAGAAAATATATCTGACATATGAATGAAACAGCATGCTACATTATCACAATTCTTATAACTTTCTGATGACATTTTGAATCCATGCACATTTGCTTCATGTTGGTCACTAACGACCTAAACTCAAGAAGTTAATATATCAAACTTTGATTCAGAAAAGAGCTGAGATAGCATAGTCAGTATAGCAACTGGCTACAGGTTGGATGGCCAAGAGGCTGGATATAAAGTCCCGGTAAGGGGAAGATTTCTGTACTCTACGTCATCCACGTCGGTTCTGGGGCCCACCCAGCCCCATACGCGATGGGCACCAGGGGCCCTTTCACTGGGCGGTAAAGCAGTCAGGGCTTGAAGCTGACCACTCACCTCCAACTAGTGCCAAGTAAAGAATACATTAATCTATTCATCTACTCCCCCACACATCTTCATGGACAACTTTACCTTTTTACTTGTATCCAGAAAGCACTCAGTTTGGTCTCAGCAACTCACAAGGTCTGCTGCAAGATTTTTACAGATCTTCAATGTGAGTGTCAAGACACAGGTTACTTTGCACAGACAATGACTACTGGTTCACCAAGCCTTTGCTGTTCACCATACTAAACTGTCCTGTCATCTCATTTGATGCTAAGTAACCTTTACAGATAACAAACATTCAGTCATTTGGGATCAGTCAGTTTGCCACTCCTGATTTACTTCACATCCCAGTAAAATTCTTGTCCTGCAAGTTCAGAAATGCTGGGATAGTATAGTGATATGGGCTTTGACCATTTTCTCTCCAGTGCTTTCCATTTTATGGATACATATTCATCTTCTAATTTCATTTGATCTGGCTTACATCTGCAGTTTGTAAGGCATGAACCATTCACGAACAATCAGGTGGCTATCCCTGCAGCAGCTAATATCCTGCCAAAATATCCAACTGACACCACATTCTCTTGATGTTATGCTCACATTTCTACTAATGGAGCATTGAGAGCGATATATGTTAGGTGCCTACACATTAGACAGCATACTCTTATCCACAGAATAACTAGGAACTTTAATCTTCAGTAGAGTTCGTTGAACAAATCTATGGAACTTGTGCAGGGAACCTTGCAAAGCCATCTTACTTTGATTCTTGCTATAAATGTTCAGATAGATCCCAACCACAACAATCAAGCCAGACCACAAATATCTGAAACATAACAGCAACATTATAGCTTGACTTACAGAAAACAATGACAGAATTTGTTACGTAATATGACTGATTCTTAGAGGCTAATTAAGATCTAAAAGTTGTATCAGGTCATATTTTACACGTATGTTAAGAGAATGCAGAACCACGTAAACATTTAAGATCTAAAAGTTTGTGACAGTAGTACATCAGTACAAATTTTATGTTTTTGGACATTATCTTTTGTCTTTTCTTCATCTAAAAACCATCCTGTTTATTTTCCAAAACACAACGTTTTGAACACTGGATTCTGTCTCCATCTTCAGGTAAAACCTACACAGTTGGGCCTATCTCCAGACACCTATGCCAGCTCAAAGATGGGTTACAGAAATAAAACAGCATAAACCATCTGTGAGAGCTAAGGAAACATTAAATTAATAAAACTGCACACATATGAGGCCTTACACCAGAGAAGTATCTCAATTTAAATCATCACTGGAGAGCATACTCCTTATGGTACCAACACAAGAAAAACAATTTTTTTCCACTCAAACTACACTTGATGGAGTTGTAGTTTCTTGACTTCTGCTGTGATAACGGGGGTCCAGACGGGAGAGATGTCCGAACTGGGTTGACTGATCAGATGGTCCAGCTGAGACATGTGGCCTGATTCGTCCCTTTTCAGACACAGTATACCAAGGCACTGTCATCATCCCATATGTTATTCATTCATTCATTATTGGAGGGGGTGGGTTTCCCATGCACCATGACCAGTTGTTGATCTATTGTACGTCCCCCTTTGATATTCTACCAGTCGCCATACACTTCCAGTACTGGTGCTCACTATCAGTCCCGTTCAGCCAGAGAGTTCGGCCCCTCTACTGGCAGTAGTACCTGATACTTCCCCATCTACCGGAGGTATTTGAAACTACTTGGGTGGGAAACTTTTTACCTAATTTTGCTCAGAGGTCTCCTAGAGACATGAGGATCTTTTACGTGCCGTAAATCTACGACACGGGACCCACGGCTTAAAGTCCCTCCCAGAGGACTTGTTCCCTGAATTTTTCTGCCCTTAAAAATTCCATGACCTCTGCCGGGTTTGAACCCACGTACCTTGAGTCATGAGGTGGGAACGTTACCCCTAGACTGCAGAGGCCGCATCCCATGTGTTAAGGGCACTTCCGAGAAATTCAGACACGTCATGAACCATTTCAATCTCAGAACCATCTTCAAGCCAGAACATATGCTGTGGAACGCTGATGAAAACTGGACCAGTTAGAGATGCCTAGCAGACAAAGCAGTGTGTGTACAGCATCCCATGAGATTGTGGCAGATATTACATCGGTGAAACAAGCAGACCTTTAGAAGTACGTATTATGGAGCACAAATATAACCTGACAAAGGGTTTGCTGGAAAAATCAAAATTAGCCCAACATGCATATGAGGAAGGCCACAAAATATGCTGGAATGAAGCGAAGGTCTTGCAGATTGAGCCCAACACCACATACAGTAAATTCAAAGAATCAGCCCACATGTCTCTGCTGGACCATCTGATCAGTCAACCCAGTTTGGACCTCTCCCATCTGGGCCCCCGTTATCACAGCAGAAGTCAAGAAACTACAACTCCATCAAGTGTAGGTTGAGTAGGAAAAATGTGTCTTTCTTGTGTTGGTACCACAAGGAGCATAACTTCTTTCCAGTGATAATTTCAATCGAGATACTTCTCTGGTGTAAGGCCTCATACATGTGGAGTTTTAATAATTTAATATTTTCTTAGCTCTCGCAGATGGTTTGTGCTGTGTTTGATTTATGTACTCCATCTCTGAGCTGGCATAGGTGTCCAGAGACAAGCACTAGCCCTATCTATTTGGCCCAACTGAGTGGGTTTTACCTGAAGATGGAGACAGAATTCAGTCTTTGAAACGCTGTTTTGAAAAATAAACAGGACAGTTTTTAGATAAAGATAAGAGGATAGACAATGTCCAAAAACATAATATTTGTACATGTAAATATTTGTTTCTCAACACTTTCTGCTTATCCTGGGCAGAGATATATCTTTTGATATTCAATTTCAAACTGCAGACTGGACTAATCTGTAACTCACTGGAATGTGAAAGGCTTGGAGAACAACATGAATGAGATGATGATGGAGACAGCTTTGCGACACGTGGTGACTGTTGCAGCTGTGAAGGCCCCACACGTCTTTACGAGAGTCAGAACAATTTGTATCCCTAGGTATCCAGATAGAGAGAAGATCAGCGCATAACCATATGTTTCCATCAAATGCTGCAAACCATATTGTAAAATTAAGTACTGAACTGGCTAGTCCACAATCAAGCCTGTTGGAAGCACAACACATTTAGCAATCCACATTCATACACACAGATTCTTAATACACAGAGTAAGAATCTTGAAATTTCCTGTTTCTGCATTGCCTGAATAAGCTTGAAACATAAATGTTATATACAACCTATGTCCATAAAGTTCCGAGACCAAGTCTAAAAAATACAAAATTCAACTTATTTAGTAATGGTTCCTGTCCCCTTCAAAACAGTCCTCCCCATAGTCAATACACTGTTGCCACATTTCAGCAAGTCCTGGAAGCAGCTGGTGAAGGCGTATTTCAGGATGGCTGAGAGCTCCATTGTCACAGCCGCCTGAATAGCCTTGATATTCTGATGTCACCATCCTTTTAGCATTTTTTCAGTTGTGAAAACAGAAAAAAATCACATGGCGAGAGGTCAGGGGAGTACAGGGGATGTTGAAGCACAGCAAAGTTTATGTTTCGCGAGAAATCTGTTGACACTTAGAGCTGTGTGTGGTCCTCACACTGTCATACAACAAAGTTCACTGTCCAGACGCCCACAGGTTAGGACGACGTTGAAGTGTCTTGCACATACACCTGAGTACAGAGATGTAAAATTCTTGGTTGACTGTTTGCCCTTGCGGAACAAATTCATGATGAACCATACCCCTGGCATCGAAAAAAACGATTGTCATAGTCTTTGTTTTTGATAGCTGCTGCCTCACTTTCTTTGATGCTAGTGAACCCACTGACCACCATTCAGTGTTTTGTGTCTTTGTCTGAGGGGCATACTAAAAACACCACGATTCATCCTCGGCAATGACACTGTTGATGAATGTGGAATCATTGTGTGTCTTGTGTAACAAATCAGCACAACCTGAAGCTTGCATCACCTTTTGATCTTGATCTTGATCCTCTCACAGAATTTGGTGGCAGATTGACTTATTGACATTCAGGGCATCAGCTAACATGTGCACTGTAACAGTATGGTCTTCCCATACCATATCACTGATGCAAAACATGTTGTCTTCATTCCAGGAACTCATAGGTTGGCCTGATTTTGTGTCATCCTCCACCTACACCCTGACCGACATGAATCACCCAAGCCACTCAAATACTCGTGGCCAAGATAAAGCTTCATTGCCGTATGCAACACGTAGAAGCTGCAATGATGTGGCTGTCTTGCCCAGCTTCACACAAAAATTTGATGTTAACTCGCTGTTCAATCCACAACTGACAATTGACATGAAATTTTCTGCTATGCCCTACTACCTAGCTGAGGTCAAGCAAACTAAGATCAATAACACAGGTGAGTCGTAAAGTATCCCATTTTTAGAACTCCTTTTCCCAGAACTGCACAACATTTACCTAAGCTGAGATATTAAATCAGTCTCAGAACTTTATGGACAAAGGTTGTACATGTAATTTTTTTTATCTTTAATTTCATTTTGATTCTTCCACATCAAAATGATATTTAAAACTAAATATGGTTATGGCAAATCCGTGCAACAGAGCCATTGACCTACTCCATTTTGCTCACCTTTGCCAAGTCCATCTCACAGTAACAAAGTCTTTGGATCCCTGAGTCAGAAGCATAACCAAACTTGAACTCTAAAGTTATGACACTCAAACCACGTTGTAAACATTACCAACTACAGCATGTTGCCACAGCACTGTCTCATGTTGACAACATCATCATCATCATCATCATCATTTATTTACATGTCAAAAATCCTTTACAAGGTCGTAAGACTCAGGATATAGACAATAGTCCAATATAAACACACCCACCATGGAGCAAAAAGCCATTCCTCTGCCAAGGTCACCGGTGACGAGCATGATGATGAACAGGTATGCAAAACCAATGGAGTATGAGTATAGGACAACCTCTGTGTTTGTTGCTTTGTAAACTTTCATTGATTTCTCCTGGACATTGCCAATTGCTGCATCACAAAGCAAAGCACTGGAGATCATCAGCACACCTGCAAACACACATATTCCTGTATTCATTACTTGAATAAACACACAGCTTATAAATATGCTTGTCAGATCAGTGATGCACCTAGCTTGCATTCAGACAACATCTCTTAGATACTTGCTGAAACTGAAGAGTAATCTCTTCTTCCATGTTCTGACTCTGAATTATCCTAGAATATCTCACTTGTACCACATGACATCAGCAGTCAATAAAGCATCATCAAAACAAAATAATTAAGTATTACAATTTGTTTGAGGGGGCATGCGGTAGCGTAGTTGATTGAGGTACTATACTACAAGCTGGAAGGTCGAAGGTTCAAGTCCTGATGAGGTCAATGGATTTTTTTCAAATTTACCTAATCCTTCCAGCTGCATATGGCCCTGGGGTCAACTCAGCTTATGACAGAAATGAGTACCAGGAATATTCTTGGGGGTAAAGGGCAGGCAGCGCATAGGGCTGACAACTTTGCCGCCATCTATGAGTTGATTGTCTAGAAAATGTGGGAACCTCAACATCTCACAGTCCTATGGGCCTCCACAGCCTGTTACAGGAATACCTTTACTTTTTACTTAAAATTTGTTTGATTTGCTTTCAGGACATGCTCGGCTGAAACAATTCCTTAATACCCTCTAGTTTATCATTCATCTATACTACATAGTCTCGGCATTTGATGAAAATCCATAAAATAAATTAATATAGAACTGTAATCTGATTCTGAGGAAGTACCCAACCTGATTCGAAAGCAGCGAATGGCTGTCCAGTTAAATTCAAACATCCTTCAATATACAAAATATAATGACCCCATATTGAATGGCATTAGTTTTTCTCCCATCTAGTTAGTTGACAAAAACAACATTTTGGTATTGTTGATATGGCTCTAAAACATACACAGATATAGACATCTACAATGGCATGCTATTCACACAGTTTCATAAAACCTGAAAATTTAGCATCTACAGTTGCAGGGTTAAAGTGAAGCAGGGTAGCAGAGATGAACAGACATGTACAACTAAGGGTTACAAAACAAAACAGGATGCCTCTGGGACCGTTTAAAAGGTGTGATATATATTTTCATTTCTAACAAAGCTTTCTCATGATATATATTGTGCAAAAGTGTATTCCTTCCATTGTAAGGCATGCAGTAAACCCAAACAAAATCTTACTTGGATAATAGATATCCTTCTACATGTATAAAAACTATGCACCAGTTAGACCAAAGCTCTGAAATTACATAATTTATGGTTATCAGAGCAAGGAATGTTCAGGCATCAACATATTATATGAATGTAGTTATGCAGTACATCATGAGTAAGCAATGCATAAAATGACAAGAAATTTTAGAATTTACAATTATTAAGACAATACTAACTGTGACTGCTACATACTCTTCAGGCACAAACATTTATACTTCCAGCCACTGCTGGAGTAGTTTTCCATTCTTAGCACCAGAAGACAGATGCTGCAGCATCATTTTAACCAAACTTGGTACTAGATGGGTTCAACCCCAAGGTGCACAGTATTTCAAGTCAGTTCATGGATTCAAATAACTCCATCATAGCCTCAAATTTCTGTCATAACATAAACAAAAGGCTTTAACTAAAGAATATCATGGTGCAAGTTTTCCTCAAACTTCACAGTTACTTAGACAATCAAGATATATATCCTACCTTTACTAAACCCAAACATTCATTCTCATGTTCATAATTGCTCACTATACGACCCTACCTTGAGCTAGTTCAATCAAGTTCACATCCCCACACCATATTCCTCTAACGTACAGGTCGATAGATTCCCACTTATGATTTGTGTCGCATATAACTTTCTCTCCTCAGATTTACAGACCAAAATTTTATGTGCATGCTACATGCCCCATCGACCTCTTATTTTTTGTGTTAATTCCTTTTATAATGTTAATGCAGAAGACAAATTATGAAGCCTTTTATCATTTAATTTTCTCCAACCTCCTGCTATTACTTCTTTGTTACGTTCAAATGTTCTTTTCAGCGCTTTGTTTTCAAACGCCTTCAAACTATGTTCTTCCCTTAGGACGAGAGACCAGGACAAATGGTCTTATCTCTCAACATTAACATAAAAAAATTGTAATTACTGAAAGGAACAACATTTATATAAATAGTATAGCTGATTTGTGGATCCATATTTTAAAACAATATAATTTGTTTTAAAAAATCCTGAAATTAAATACCAGGTATGCTGTGATTAGAGAATACAAAAAACAAAAAAGTGAAGATGACAAACCTATGGTGCTAAAGTTCGGTGACACATGACTATCAGCAAGAGTGAACAGAGTGAGTCCCAGACACATGCAGCCAGCAGCTATAAAATCAAGTATTCCATAACGTTTCTGCTGTATTAGGATGCCCCCCACAAGAACTGGGATGAGTTTGCAGCACTTGAAGATCACTTGTGTGGGGTAATTAAGATGCCCCAGTGATGAATTTGAGAATCCCATGGTGCCAAGTGTCAACAGAGCTAGCAGGAGGTAGGTTTTCAGAGGAATCCTGCACATACAGTACAAATGACCTTAATGGCATTGTTTCAACCGCAAACATGACACAGAGCTAAGATGGAAGACAGATGATTCTGAATAGCCAGCACACAAAATATGGGAGATTAGGCAAACACAGCCCACTTTAAAGAATGATCTTGGCATCTGAATACAGAGACTTGGAAACACTACAGAAAAGCCCAGCCAAGACAGCCAGTAATACAGCCAAACTTTCAGCATAGTATCTGTCGAGTACAAATATAGAGCATTATTGCTACACCAACACATACAACAATGTGGTGACTGTTATCCAGGTGTATGAATCAGTTAAACTGTGGACTGCACTTCTTAAGTTACATCTATTTGTTTCATAATTTCTCTAATGGGCAAGAAGCTGAGTTACGACATTCTATTATTATAACATCTCTAACAGCTTCAAAACAAGGCCATATTAAGACCATCTACTGAAATAAAATCCCATAGCCTAGAAGAGAAGTGTATACTGCTGAATCACTTACATAAGAACAAGAAGGTTAAACCATACTAAATCTTTATAATACTGTGATCCATTACTAACACCTTGTTTACTCATTATGATGTAATTACACTTTCTTCTGACAGACATCTATCTGCAGATACACTGGCAAAGTTAAAATAAAACATTTCTTTTACCAATTATCAATAGAACCTCCGTCGAGTGTAACAATATATATTCTTGTCACCATTTTTTCACATTTGCCTTACATGTTTCGGCTCACAAAGAGCCATCATCAGAGGCACCCACAACAAATATATATTGTTACATATTACATATTGTTACATATGTTACAACATATATATTGTTACACTCGACGGAGGTTCTATTGATAATTGGTGATTGATAGTGTAACGGACCAAAATGAAACAATTAAAAAAAAAAACATTTCTTTTATTTACAGATATCTGTATTTTTCCAATAAAACTAAATTCAGTAACAGGTTAGGGCACACCAGGCTTGATGGGTTAATTTAATTTAGTTGATGTTATGTTTGTGTCAAGACTTATATCCATAAATACAACAAACTCTGTAAAAAATCTGATGGTAGATGGCATCATATAGTACATCCAAAAGAAGCTCAAATACACGGACATAATATTGTAAAGTTACTCCCAAACAGCAACTGCCTGCAAGATTTTCTTCCTCAGTCTCTGGATCAATGCAACTTACATTCTTGAAATCTTCTTTCCCATCATTTCAACAGACCCAAACAAGGAATAGTATGCAAACTGGACCAACGTTAGGTACCATCCAAAAGGCTTGAATCCCTCAAGTGTAAAAATCAATTCCTGGTAAGAAAATATATACATAATTACTAGATTACATTACACTGATTAAAATATAGATTCATTTGCAGATCCACCAAAATGCCACAGATATCATGCAATTCCCTTAAAACTGATCTCTTTCAGTATGTCAACTGGGAATCCACTCCTAGATGCGAAAACTTCCCAAAAATTTTGGGGATTTCTGATCCCACACAGTAATGTTCTATCCAGAAAGTGGGAGTTATGACCTAAAATGTTACTGATAATGTCATGCCAGGTTAGTTCTGGTTAGTTTACTTGAATTTATTTTATTTTTTTTCAGATCTTAAATTTTTACTCTTCTTAAGTTCCAGTAATTCTGTATTCCTCTTGTGTGTGACACCATGGGGGAATCCAAAACAAAATATGTCCTGTTCACCAAACGTTATTATGCACACTGTTAAATTTATATACAACACTAAAATGTTAACAGTGAGATTACATGTATAATATTATGCAATTTCAGGTTACAAAAGCAAAAACTGCTGCATGTTTGCATGTTTCTTGAACATGAGTTATGTTGTAAGTCACAAATGTGAAAGTATTTTATTTCAGTGAATTCAAAAGCACAGCACAAATACTTACCTGCATATAGCCATACAACAAGTAGAAGACAAAAACACCTGTACTGCACATTAATAACTGAGACAACTGACTGAAATTACTGATATCGTAAAATAATATTTTTACTTCGAAATTTACTTTTTCGTTCTTTTTGATATTTGCATTCTCAATGTATATCTTCATATCTTGATTATTTTGATTCATTTCTTTACCGAAGTTAATAGGCACATATAACTGATAAGTCAGTAAAATTTGAACACGATTATTAATTCTAGTCCTATCAGGAACACAGTCAACGTAACTGCCACTGCCACATCACTATTCTTTTCTCATTTTCCTTGGCTTCACCCAACCATCATTTCTGGAATGACAGATCGTGTACAAGGAGACACGGTAGGAATTTCCGCAAGACCACGGATCACAAACGAGATAAACTGGAAAAACCAGGCACGGTTCATAGATGTGCTCGGATGAAAGTTTTCGTTACGTAACGGTGCGGGTTGCAGGTCGTCGCCTGGTATGAGGGATTCTCTCCTTCTCTCCTAACTTGCGGATTATAAACCCACTCAGCTGATGCCGAAGGCGTTCCGTATTACCGTACAGTTTCCTTTGTCAACTTGCGGAATTCGTATTTGATTCTTGTCTTTAGGGAAGAATCCATGGCAAACTGACTCCTTACGTCAGTAAACTACCTCGCACTATGGGCTATGGACGTTCTGAATTTGAAAAGCACGGATTACTAAATTATATACAGGCCCCTTGGATAAAGGTATAGTATAATACAGATAATACATGCTGCTAGTCATCGATTATATAAAATAGAGAACAATATTCGAAGAGTTCTATCTTCTATGATATAATACCATGTGGTCCGTTGAAATTCATCTGACATTTCGGAGGAACATGTCACCTCCATTTATAAGATCGAAGGATAAGCCAAGCAAGAAATCAGTATTAAGCAAGTGGCAAGCAAAGTCTCTTTCAGTAGATTACACTGCGTTATATCTTTTTGAGTTGTATGAATTTTTTCGGCACATGCCTGTCGTCCATTCCTTGATGCGTGATATACCCATTGTGATCTTGATTTTATAATTGTAGCATTAAATTTCTAGTAGCTTCCCGCTAAAACGGCAACTAGTCCGTCTAGTCACTTGAACGGTCGTATGCTTGACCGCCGCCAAGTTTAAACGTCTTATACTTTCTATGTCGGGCGTCGCCTTGTCCAATAATGCGAACATTTTCGTTATCATGATTTTGTATTACTTTCGCTAGTTGCCGGCATAATTTTGTTATATAATCATATACGTACGGAATTTTGAAAGCCTTGTGTAAATCACGAACGGGTGTATGCCTTGGAAAATGGCCAATGGTGCGAAGAACCTTGTTTTGTAGGCGCTGCAATTTTCGCCCATGTGGTCCCCATGGGATGATTTCCAGGTATTGATGTTTCCCGAATCCTTGCTAAAGATTTTCCGATGGAAATTCTATGCACTTACTCTGTATGCGATAAAACCAAAACATTGGCTGTCTTTCTGTAAAAGTGGCAGAAAAAGGATCATTCTCCTCCCGTGCTTTTTGCTGTTGCCATGCTTTTACCTCCATCCTTTGTCCATCATCATTAGTTATCTTCCTTTGGCGCGTTTGGTTGGTCTTCTAGTTCATTATTTTGAGCTGAAATAACAACCACGTCTCTTGCTAGATGCATATACATTTTTATTTTTATATAGAAGTTAAGAATGGCCATAGTGATGCTGGAAGGATGAGGCACATTAAAAATCCAATGACCCCATCAGGAATCGAACCCGCGACCTTCAGGCTTGTGGCACAGTTCTTTACACATCTACGATACAGCATGCCCTGCGAATAAATTTCTGTGTTTTAAAAAAGATGCATACATTTACAATTGAGCCGAAATTTGAACTGAAATTTATGATATAAATAGTTATGATGAACAACATTTTAAATTTGTTATCATTATAAAGACATTTTTAATTGTTATATTGCATTTGAAAAAAACTTTATTCCCTTAGATGTCAGACGGGAGGAAACGTTTATCTGGATGCGAGTACAGAAAAAGGAAACTTAGGAAGGAGGAATAAATCACCTAAAAATTCAAAATGCAAAATGAACAGAAGCAGCATCGTTTGGAAGTCTGCAAGGAACTTCAAGAGGATCCAAACTTTCTTTCGAAGGTTGTCACTGGTGACGAAAATTGGGTTTATGGCTACGACGCTGAAAGTAAGCAGTGATCGTTGCAATGGAAGAGCCCTTCTTCACCCCAGCCAAAAAAGCTCAACAAGTTAAGAGCAACATTAATTCCATGTTGATCTGTGTTTTTGGTATTGACAGGATTGTTCATAAGGAGTTCATCCATCCTGGTCAGACGGTCAATAAAGAGTTCTATCGCGATATTCTAAGGTGTTTGAGGGAGGACATGAGGAGAAAACGTCCAGAGAAATGGTGCACGAATGACTGGGTACTCCACCATGACAATGCACAACCGCATATGGCTTACATTGTGCAGGAATTTTTGCTAAAAACAAGATGGCAGTTGTTCCCCACCCACCGTACTCGCCAGACTTAGCTCAATGCGACTTCTTTCTCTTCCCCAAGATGAAAATCAAGTTGAAGGCGAAGATTTGATACAGTTGAGGAAATTCAAGCGGAAACGCAGACAGTGCTAAACACCCTAACAAAGAAAGACTTCCAGGATGCATTTCAAAAGTTGCAGAAACACTGGGATTGGTGTATGCGCTCCCAAGGGGACTACTTTGAAGGTGATGGTGCAGAATAAGATCTAGGTAAGATGTAATAGTTTTTATTAATATATTTCGGGAACTTTTGGATTGAACCACGTACATCTGGCCTAACCTTCACAAAATGAATGAATGGATCAATGGAAGAACAAAACCTTCAAATTACAATATCAAGACTCATTCATTTATTCATTTATTTCACTCATAACTGTACATGTTGTGCTTCATACCCCAGGTTCAAAAACACAATAAATTAACACAAAAAAAACAGCTGCCAACTATACTGACTGACTAGCACAACACAGACAACACTCAACCTAATCAGTACGTTCTTTGTTAAAGATAAAAGTGAACATCGTATCCTTATTTAAGTAAAATGTTTCATAAAAGAAGTCTTCACTGGTGCAAGATACAACCTATGCACTAATCTTAAGATCATGGCTGGTCCACATTACCTGCAACATATATTACTTGTCAGCCATTTGCCAGAAAACAGAACCATTGTAGTTTTTAACCCATTGATGCATATGGTTTCATGTCTACCAGATTCTAGGTCAGAGTTCCCAACCTCTTTGCACTTCCTAACACATGCAGCCATAATTTAAGGTTATCATAACATATGAATGCAAATTGTACAAGGAATTTTTTCAATATAGAAGGTGGGGTGACTGCCATAATGAATTAAATTTTCTGACCTTCTTACAATTTTAATGCACACTACCACTTCTGATCAATAACACAGAATTCAAAGAGTCATCACAATCAGTAGCTTTGTCACAATTTTTGTAACTAACAATATTTGACAATAACATCTTCAGTAATAATTTTCCTACATTTCGTCCATGATATGTATATTGGCCATCTTGTAGTGCACTCAATTTCCTACATTTCTCTCATGTCATCATAGCTATGGAAAGCTCATACAGCCAACTCTGTTATATCCTGTATAACCAGAAGTATAAAGAGCATAGTGTGTCAGATCATTCTTGCATAATAACAAAACACAGCCAAGTCCAAGCCCAAGTAACTTTGCAAATGAGAGTCAGACAGCGCATCTTGGTGCCCAGCTCCCTTTTTTGCGTTCATGACTGTATTCAAATTCTGAAGTCTGTCCCGTACAGTCATAGTGATGTAAGAGTTTAATCTCTGCTGAGAGGATGGCCTGTCCTTTGTCAGATGTCTCAGTTTTTATCAACTCTACATATAAAAAAAAAAGTTGTCCCTGTGCTCAACTAATTAAGCACTATGCCATGAAGGCGTATGGGGGAGTGGATGTATAGATCCACATTTTCTTGACCTCAGCACTAGCTGGAGGTGAGTGGTCAACTTCATGCCCTAGCTGCTTTACCCCCAGGGAAATAGCCCCCCAGTACCCATTGGATAGGAGGTTGGGTTGACCCCAGAGCTGGTCTGGACAATGTGAGAAAAGAAAATTCTTGAATCTACAGGGAACTCTGACAGCTCATTCATCCAGCCTGTAGCCAGTCGCTATATTGACTACGCTATCCTGGCTCACATCAACTATATATATATATATATATATATTCACACACAGCATCATATGATAGATCCTGTATCCTAACAAATGCATGAATTAAAGAACTTGCATGGTATGTCCATGTCTTGTTTATTCTGTTCACTTTCGCTTAAATATAAATGGACATACATATGCACCAAAGGGTTAAAATGTACTACATATCCAGCATAAATTACAGAACATTATTATAACAGTGTTCCTTAAAAACTATAGAGCTCAATATACCTATAGCTCAGTCATTGCTATATATCATCAACAAAATGGTACTTTCTATACAGAACACAGTGCCCACTTTAAGTACGCCATGAAACTACTCATATTCCCAAACCACTGGGCAATAGGGGTTACTTGTGCTTGTCCCATAGAAAGTTTGGTGATATTCTTGGCTCTGATATTGAATAAAAACAAGAACCCATACAGAGTCCTCCTTCATCAGTTAAAATCACCAGTAGTGTCTTAGCTGATCATAAAATCATAGCCATCACAAGTGACAAGGTTAGCTCTGTCCATAACACAGAGCGGGCCATAAATCACAGACCATGCTGAATTTTATAACAAAACTTTGTTCCTGGAAAATTTATCATTGGATGAAAGGGTTATCTTAGGGTTCATGCACAGGTTGCCAGGTGATGTATGCCAGTCAAAGGCGAAGAAGACTACAGCTGATAAATTAGTCACATTAAAGAAACTGAAGTGCTGGTAATAATTTCAAAGTATATCATAACCAATGAAGAACCATTAACGGCAGTCTTAGCTCAACTTATTACCAGCTGAGAAAAGTCAATGAAGGAGTTAAGTAAAAAATCAGAAGTTATCTATCTGGCATATTCACACAGTGAATTACATTCAGCCATGCAGAGTCCATCTCCTTAAGGGCCTGCATGGTGATGACAAAAATTGCTGGAAAGAGTTCTGTGACTGGTTCCTGTAAGATGAAAATTGATCAGTCTTGTTCAGTAATAAGGCCTTATTTTACTTAAATGATCATGTCAACCAGCATAACTGCAGATGTTGGTCATATATTGTCATTGGATGAAAGCCATTTTTGTGCAAAACAATCCTCAGATTATGGACTGACATATGGAGAGATGAAATAATTGATTCCCATTTCTTTGACAGTAATAAGTAAGGCTGCACCATAGCTCAGGTGGTTAGTCACTGGCTTCCTGTTGCAGCGGTCCGGGTTCAATCCCAGGTCAAGTCATGAGAGATTTGTAGTACTTCAGTCTCCCCTGCCAATTCTCATTCCACCGACTGCTCCACACTCATCATGTATCATCCAGGGCTGGTACAATAGGCCAGATAATGGCCAACGTACCAAGTGGACTCAGTCTCACCCCACCTCAAGAAACTAAAAAAATATAAAAATAAAAAGTAAAAAAAAAAATCACAAGTGAAATGCACTTGCATTGGTTACAGATTTTCTCAACTGATTTTCTGGATGATGTTCCACTATGCTGAAGGCATAACATGTTCTTTCTGCAAGATGAAGCATGCTGCATTTTGCATTGACTGTATGTATGTTTGTTAACAGAAAGTTTCACAGGATGATGAGGCCACTGGGGTCACCAGACCTCACATCCCTTGATTTCTTTCTCTGGGAGCATGTGAAGTCAGTTGCATACCAGAATAATGAAAGAAACATTCAAGAACTAAAGGAAAACATTACACTGAAATCACCAAATTTACAAAATATATCTCTTATTGGGTTCAGGGTTCATGCATCAAGAGTTGGCAGGTGTTTACATGTTGATGGCAGTCATTTAAAAATAAATTACGATTTTGTTCTTTTTTAATATTATAACACATTCATCCCTATGGTGTGCCACTTATGGCCCATCCTGTATTATGACAGAAACAGGTTATAGAGGCAGAAACTGTCTAAGCTCTCCAAGAATTTGTTACCAGAATGGAGTCCATACAAGTTACATATGCAAAGAGAACACTTTCTGCTAGCCAAAATAGCTTTTTGAACATTGTCCAGTGACTGAATAAATGAAGTATAAGTTACAGAGAGTGGCTCTAATGACATACCTACTTTGCAGGTTCCATTAAAGAAAGGTAATCATTATTACTTGACAACAACAACAATCACAAACTTGGCCTCTGAAAACCCAACCAAAATGGAGCACATACCTTAAAAAAATAAAAAACAGCAGGAAAGAAAGGAGGATGGAAGAAAAGAACATGAAAGGAAAGGGACAGAGAAAGATGAGAGACAGAGTTGGGGGAAGAAAATAAAAGACCTAGTGTTAACATGTATCTAGTGGAAGACAGAAAGAATAACACTCCTCCTTTAATCTGGTGGTATAGGTGGAACAGCAACTCTTTCTTACACTTACCTTTTACCATCTGTATATCAATTCATTTCATCATGAAGGAGCTCACAAAGGTAAAGATATAAAATAAATTTTAATAAAAATCTCTTAGTTTGTTTCAGAGAGAGTACGTAATGGTGTTAACCATAAAAATACCTGTCACAGAGAGAAGAACTTCAGGAAGGCTTGTGGTGGTATGGGCACATGCAGTGAGCTCTTGTCCACATCCTCCAGCTTCTCCTGAAACTCTGGGTCTTGATCGGCAATGCAAGGATGTCCAATAGATTTCCAGAATAGGCAGCGGCAGTTGCGGCACAGCTGGATCATCTCTGCATATTCTTCACGGAGACCAAATGACCTGAGGATTATGATATTCCCTTAGAACTTGGCCTGTATATAACAGTCATATCTGATACCTTCAATAACTTCTGAACCACTTGTGTGAGATTTTTAAATATTAGGCCTTTAACAGACTAATTTGTAAATGTAAAATTATATTAATAATATACACATTTGGCCTCTGTTTACAGTTTCTTAATCATACAATGAGAAGGACCCCTTAGGCAGGGGATCAGCCCACCGCAAGGCCATTCCCTACATAGGACAACACAAAAACATCCATGCCTTGAGTGGGATTCGAACCCATGATCCCAGTGTTTGAGAGAGTGAATACAGTTCATATCTTAGACGAAGATAATATTACATTAAAAGTGTGTAATTCTGGGATTCATGTAGGTATGCTATTATGTTTGACACCAGACTGCCTTTCGGTTCTTGCCTTCGATACAAGAGGGAGAGTCAATAAACATGTCACATATGGATAGAAAACAAAATATATGACATTCAAACATGGAAAAACAGTTTATTTCTCAACAAATCCTCCAAAAGAAAATAAGAAACCAGTAAGTAACAAAACATTCTTATTTGACTAAGATTCATGGCTGTGACAATTTGCACACCAATTCAAACACAGGTTAGTTCATCAGCTAAATTGCATTATCTGTTGGATTACAAATTTACAGTATCTAAATATGGCATCAGACCACCTCTGTGGTCTAGTGGTCAGAGTTCCTGGCTACAAATTCAGAGGTCTGGGGTTCGATTCCCAGCTCTACCATATTTTCCGAGAAGTAGTGTGGCTAGAAAATTGTCCACTCAGCCTCCTGAGGAAAACTGAGGAGCTATTTCAAGGCAAGAGCGGCTCCAGTCTATAAAACCGAAATGAACGCCCGTGGGGATTTGTTGTGCTGATCACACGACACCATCTTTCCACAAAAGTTGGTACTAACTTCGCTGACAGGCAGTGGTCGCTCGGTTGGAATAGTTCTCTTACAGACTGAAGCCACAGATTTTTGTAATATGGCATCAATAACCCAGGAACTGTAAGACTGGAAATCTGTCTGTGCAATAGTAAAGTAGACTTTACAAGTTCTTCCATGAACTCCTTTTTAATAAATTAAGACTCGTCCTACTTAAAAATGTATCCCTGACTTCTTTATTCTCAGATAAAAATTAGGGTGTATATTTTTGCAACAAACTCACCAATATAGTATGTAACTCTATTTATAACAACAATTTGAGATGGAAATTGTATAACTATATGAACTAATTAACTGCATAAATAAATGCAAATGGCAGACACAAAGGATAAATATTACTGAGCAAAGCCCATCATTGCACATGACCCCTGATCAGGTCCAGTCCACTTTCTACCAGCATAAACCTATTTCCTAAGACTGATTTTTTTTTTTAATTCACTTAATGGGGAGTGGAGTCCAACTGGGACCACTCGGCACAGCGGCCACTGATTGGCCTATTCTAGCCTGCCCCAGGTGATTATGATGATGGAGAATTTGGTGGAATGAAGATTGGCAGGGGAAACCGAACTACTCAGAGAAAACCTGTCCCAGCGCCACTTTGTCCAGACCCGGGATCGGACCCAGGCTGCCACGGTGGGAAGCCAGCAACTTACTGCTTGAGCTATGGCATGGCCTGGAGACCCATCTTAATTTATCCTCTCATCTCAACAATAGTTTTCAGACTTGCCATTTTCCAAGAGGTTTTGACACTGGAACTTTGAATACATTCCTTGTCTCCCCTATTCTAGTTTCATGCCCAGCCAAGTATATCCTCCTACATTTCACTAGGCTAACATGCAAGGTAACCTGCATGAATCACAACGTTCCTTGTTATGCTTTTCTAAATTTCTCACTTTGACCATCCTGGGTTAAAATATTTTGCTGGGCACTTTGTTTTGAAACATTTGTAATTTATGTTCTCTCAAAGCAAGAAATTGTGTTTAGCACTCATTTCAAACAAATGAAAAGATTATTATTTCATATACTCACACCTTCAGTCATTTTAATTTTTAACTGAATAACCTGAATAATAACAAGCATTTCCAGAATTGATTTTCCCCTATCTCTTCATCAGCCTAATTTCTATTTATTAAGTTTGATTCATGTTACATAAATTTTGAATTAGTAACTAATTTGTAATAAATCTACTTACAATATTAGACACTGTTGCTGATTCTATATTGTTTCATCTATTATCTCCAGAGCAATTTATTCTCTGGGCTGTACAATCTCTAAATTCTTCTTCATTGTATTTGCCATCTCCACAACATATTAACCTCAACAACACAACAAATACCTACAGATATTAATATTGTAAGATAACGTTTGACCACAAGTTGCTTGAGATGAATAATATATCATAAATGTCAGTAGTTTCCTTACTTGCGCAGCTTATGGTAGATACGCTGCCAATCTGTTTGTGGTGGGCAGGACTGTAGCACGAATCCAATCTGCTGTGGTGTGAAGTGGAAACGGCACAATTCCCTCCAGATGCGTTGTTCATCGACCAGACGCTGCATCACACTGTATGCCTTCCCACTACTTTCAAGATCCTTGTGATCTGCAAGGCGAAGCAGAACCTCACGCACACACTCTTCAGGCAGATTCTGTAGCTTTGGGAACACATCATCTCCTGGCTGCAACATATGAGCCACATTTACAAGACAGCAAGACAGCAAATGAACTTGCAAAATGGGCGTTTCCTAAAGTAAAAACTTTATTTATGAATACCAACTCCACAGTTTATGAACATTCAATTAACAAATGTTCACATTACAGAATCTGAAAAATGAATATTCCTTTTTCAGCACACATAATGAAATTTTGGCTACAGTGAAGTTACTGGAAATTATGTGCACACTGTCAGCCCTGCCTAGTATTTTTCCCAGTTGTTGCACTGTCAATTATATGTACTATCATTTTGCTATGTGTCCGTTCCATACTGTACTCAAACCATTAGCCATTTTCATGTGCCTCATCAAAAATGGTTTGCTCTCAATCATATCTTCCAAGCCCTCATTAACTATAATTGTTATAATAAATAACTACATGTCATATTGTGTATTTTCCATTGTTTAAAATTGTTTATGCAGCTATGCATTATTATAGACATCTCTAATTATTTCACTTAAATGAATGTGAAATTTATTTTCACTTAATGAATTCTCACTTAGATTTACATTTAAGAACAATATTCTTTTTCCTGTACAATGACTTCACATGTGCAGTTTTCCTTCAACCGCAGTAAACTTTATAATTTAGCATAGCATAATGCTGCATATTTTGGCCACATTGTTCTATCCTAAGCATCCTGAGCTCCAGAATGATTTCTGCTAGCTGCCCCAATATGCAATGTTAATTATGTTGGTGTTTCTCAGCACTGTTCTCTCATGCATAGACTAGCGAAGGGTGATGCTGCATTGGTCTCTTATTTAAACTGACAGTGCTTTGTTAACTTCAGAGGTTATATACATAATGCTGGTGATAAGTCTTCTCTTCACCTTCCATAGACCCAGCATACTTATATGCTATAATTACAACCTGAATAGAAGTCTAGAGCAGTATCACTAGACTAATTTCTTCAGTTTTTTCAGGACAAGGAAAAATCTAACAAATATCTTTCAATTTACATGTTTGATTTTGTGGATGGCTTCTTTATTACCATCTTCTAAATACTTATGAAGAATATGATCCATACATAGCCAAGTATAAGTAGAATGGTCAAGTAATGAGAATGAGATAGGCAGGGCACATATCATGAATGGAGGCTAAGCAGAATTCATAGAGGATTTTGGTGGGAAAGCCAGAAGAGACATCTAGGAAGACCAAGATGTACGTGGGTGGATAATATTAATGGATCTTAGAGAGATAGGACAGCATGGTATAGACTGGCTTGATCTGGTTCAGGACAGGAACCAATGGATGGCTCTTGTGAACATGGTAATAAACCTTAAAGTTCTGTAAACTGCTGGGAAATTCTTGAGTAGCTGCACAACTGGCAGTTTCTCAAGAAGGGCTTATCTCCATGGTGTTCATTATGACCCATACACAAGCTGCAAGCATTTCAATATGAATTTGGGTATTTGCAAATAAGAGCAGTCTGCAGCTTGCTCACCACTCCTGTATAGCAATGAATTATAAATCTGGAGGAATTTGATATATTCAAGCACTTGGTGAATGACCAAAACCACAAAAACCATCCCAGTAGCTGGTCTCTGTGCTCATATTTGAATGTGAGATCTTCAAACACAGAATATGAGTTAAGACCACTACACCACAATGTTCAGTGTTAGTGTTAATGAGGCCGCGCCATGTCTCAAGTGGTTAGCAGCTGTCTTCCCACCGTGGCAGCCCAGGTTCGATCCCGGGTCTGGTCAAGTGGGATTTGTGGTGGACAAAGTGGCGCTGAGGCAGGTTTTCTCCAAGTACTTTGGTTTCCCCTGCCTATCTTCATTCCACCAATTGCTCCACAATCATCCTCACCTATCATCTGGGGCTGCTACAATAGGCCAGAAGTGGCCACACCCCACTAGCAATAAAAAATATAATGTTAATGATCTGAAAATTGAGTATGACAAACTTATTAAATTTCCGTGTTGTTCAAATGTGTGTAAATTTACATTTATGGTACACCATTCTGATTTGTATCATTTCACTCTCATGATAACTAGGAAAGTAAGTAAGTAAAGGTATAGCGGCCTCCGTAGTCTAGAGGTAAGGTTCCCACCTCATGACTCGTAGTACGCGGGTTCAAATACCCGGCGGAGGTCGTCGAATTTTTAAGGGCGGAAAAATTCAGGGAACAAGTCCTCCGGGAGCGACTTTAAGCCGTGGGTCCCGTGTCGTAGCTTTACGGCACGTGAAAGAACCTCNGCTGGCTGGGACTGATGGTAAGCACCAATACCGGTAGGATATAGAGGCTGGTAGAAATCATAGAGGGAAGCACAATGGACCACTACAGGTCTAAGTGCATGGGGAAACCCACCCTCTCTAATAACTAACTAAGTAAAGGTATCCCTGTAACAGATGTGAGATGTTGAGGCTCTCACATTTTCTAGACAGTCAGCTCGCAAATGGCAGTGAGGTTGTCAGCCTTACATGCTGGCCACGCTTTACCCCCCCCCCCAGAATATTCCTGGTACTCATTTCTCTTAGAGGCTGAATAGATCCCAGGGCCATAGTGAGGATGGAAGGATTAGGTAAATTGAAAAAATCCACCTCATCAGGATTTGATCCCACAACCTTCTGACTTGTAGCACAGTGCCTCAACCAACTATGCTACCACGACCCCTCCATGATAACTAGTAGGGGAGCAAGTTATATTTATGTCATTTCTGCCTGATATAACATTGTTGTAGTAATAACTGAAGCCAGGAATTTCTTATTTATGTTGTTTTGATAGAGACAGTGACTTTAAAACCATGCACCCAAGGTAAATTATTTTATTGACCTATTGTTAAATTTGTCTGAGTATGTGCTAAAGGAATTACTTCCTCTTTGTTAAATTAAAATGTCTGTGAAGCTGAATATGGCTTTTACCTCTCTAATTTGTATGTGATTTGCAATGGACAGAATGCGATTGATGGTGCGTAAGTGTTGTTCCCAAAGCAGGGTGCTGCCTAATGGACGACCCCAGCAGGCACAGTCAGTCATTACACGCAACTGGTGCAACAATTTGTTCAGCATGTGGATGTTCTGTTGACTAGCAGACACTGTGAAAAAACATAACAGTTATTGTTGATTCCTGTGCAAGTGGTTATTGTTATTATGCTGATTTCATTGACACAATGAATAAAAACTGTGTGGGTCTAGATACTATTCATTTCTCATCACATAACACCTAAACATGTGAATCCCATACTGCACAAACATGTAGGTCTCTGACTGTGTTAACAGTTTTTAATTTTTATTTCCACCACAAAAATGCACTTCAGTTAGAAGGAACAGGATGTGGAGGAATTGTAGAGGAAGAAATTAACTGTTTTAATCTGACACTTTTACTGTGCAAGAAACCATGAATCCCTCAAATTTCCAATTATGTCAGTCTAAAATGGTTAACCTTTATAATGTTTACACAGCTTCTACACAAATTATAAGTCTCCACTGTGAACTAAATGCAGTTTATAAATAGAAAGCAATGGATAAAATCCCATTACTGTATGCCCATTGATGCGCAAAATTCACTTTGATATTTGGATCCAATAACTACATTCATTTAGTAGAAAAGTTTCCTTTCCCAATCAAAAATGCCAATGTCATTCTCTTTACAGTAGCTGACTGCTTGGCCAACATAACATTTAAACACCTGACAGAGGATGTGTTACGTCAAAAGAATGAAACCTCAAAAAATGAAATACAATATAAATGCACCTGCAGTGCAGTACATGGTACCTGTAGTGCAATGTAAGGGTATATGGAGGCATGGTGTGAAGTACCTGCAGTACAGTGTGAATGGACCTACAATACAGTGCTGTACAAGCACCTGGTGTTATATGTGAAGACATGTGCCGTACAGTGCAAAGCGTCTGAAGCACAATGCAATTACAAACACAGTATAATGTAGAGGACCCACAGTACAATGAATTAACCTTCAATACAGTGTGAAGCACTTAAAATACTGTGAGAAGCACCTGCAGTACAATGTGAACGCACCCTGGTAAGCGACCTCTTCCAGCATGTTGAAGAGTACTTTCTGTGCACATCCTGACAGCATCGTCAGCTTCTGTGTGATAAGAAGATCTAGCAGTTTGCAGATATAGTTAAATCGGCGGACATCATGAACAGCGCTCCGGAAGTCAAGGCGCTTCAGCGCATCACTTAAGCCATTGAACCCTGCAATCTGCAGACACACAGTTACCAGCATCAGAAAAGAGTGCCCAAAGGGCAAGTTATGGTGGTCACTGAATTCTCCAGCCACACAATATATCAGTCCCCTTCAGTTAGACATGAAGCTTAATAAAAGATGAAACTATCAGTCATAACTGGTTACTTGGATAACACCATTAACCATTATGAAACCAGATTTGTTTTCCATGATATGGGTTTCTTCATTTCATGAAATGAGATGTTAGGTGCATTTGTCATATTCCAATGATCTAAACTTCTACAGTTCTTATAATTTTTTGGATTCACTACAACAAGCTGAAAATTTGATCACTGTTAATATATTCATTCAAAGAAAGAAAAATGCTTTCAGTATCTGCAGTTGTATCAGAATAAAATATGGTGGACAAAATGCTGAAGCGTCAACATTAAGACTCCATAATGCATGGGCATACAAGTAAATTTACAAAAAGGAACAGCAATATTACAAAGACATTCATAATGATATTTACTGAAATACAAATCATTATATTAAATTTTAGTCAAATTAGTTACCAACAATATTATGAAAATGTAAACAAGAAATATTAAGTAATATTCACAAATGTTTATCAAAATAATGATCACTTTAAAACACAATGACCTTAGTTGCAAAAATCAAAAGAAACAATAAATAAGTTTACAAAAATTTCTGTGCTGAACAAAAAATCAATCTTTATGTTTTAATCATCATCTCACTCTGAGCCCACAAACTGCCAGCAAAAACCATCATCAATGGCACTATATTCTTCACATGCATATTTTTTACACTTACTGCACAGTCTCATATCCGTGACCTTGTATTCCCTGAATGTCATGCACAACCAACTTCTTTTATTGTCTTCAGAATTCTGCTGGTACTCAATTCATTAGGATGTTGAAACCAGCTCATCTCTCTAAAATATTCAAACATATGCATGTTTCTAGAATATTTGATTTTCTTTTATTCAGTTTCTCCTTTGCTTCTATTTAAAAGTTTTCTCTAGTGCCAGTTATGAATAAAGAATTAAAAACTGCTTGAACTTTCACACTAACAGGTGGATATTTCAGCTTCCCATATACTCCAATTTAGATGTACTCAGTGTTTTTGTAAAACATGATATTACAAAACTTGAACTGCCAAGTGGAAGTTCTCTGTTGACGACTCAAGAGTCCGATATCTTACTATTGCTGTCATCAGATTCTACACCTTATTCCTCTTTTTCAGATGACTGAAGAAATGAAGAAAGCAGTCTTCTGGGATTTGGAACCGTGTATATGTGGTGTTAACCGACGTTTCGGAGGAACATATCGCCTCCATCTTCAGGATAGAAGGAGAAATATAAGAAATCCACAAGCAAAGAGACCGNATGGGCGTGACTGACGTAGTGAGGGGCGACGTAGCGATGTGGTATCCTGAACAATTTTAATATTTTTAACGTTTGACAATGTATATGATAGATACATATTTTAGTTATTTTAATGTGTGAACATGGCATGCAATGAACTGGTTTGACGTGGATAAGTAAGCACCTGAAGATGGCATTATTATGCCGAAACATGTAGTTCGAGGGAGAGAAGGAGATAAATGAGTGTATGCACTGCAAGACGGATTAAATAAATCATGGATTCATAATGTTCCTTTCAATCATGGATGTTTCAGTATCCTAACAATGCTGGATCCCTATATGCCTTAAAACAACCAAAACTGACTTATCTAAGTGTTGCAGCTCATTCATGCAATTTTTTTTAATGCTAGTGGGGTAGGACTAAGTCCCTTGTACTGAGGCCACTTCTGGCCTATTGTACCAGCCCCAGATGATAGGTAAGGATGATTGTAGAGAAATTAGTGGAATGAAGATAGGCAGGGGAAACCGAAGTACTCAGAAAAAACCTGCCCCAGCGCCACTTTGTCCACCAAAAATCCCACTTCACCAGGCCCGGGATCGAACCTGGGCTGCCGCAGTGGGAATCCAGCGACTAACCGCTTGAGCTATGGTGCGGACCTTCAAAAAAAATCATGCATGAAATTAATAGGTATGCAAAAGAACATTATGTTTGTTATTAAGGTCTATTGTGCCTACAATATTTGCCTCAAGAAGACACAGTGTCATCAGAGATAAATAATGTTTTGACTGCAGTATTGAATTTAATAGCATGGTTTATCCATTTTCTAAAAATGTGGCAAATAATTGACCATTAACGGTCATTAGTATGGCTGATCCCAGGGGTATGTCATAACTCCACCACTGGTGGTACCAAGTGACCCAAGGCACTGCCACAAGCAACAGTGTTGGCATTATCATGGTCCTGCATAATCAAATGCAATCATACCTTTCACTGATTAAACTTCCTATGTGTGGTGAAGGGCTAATCAATATCCCTTTTCATCAATGTTGTAAATGTTTTCGCATTTTCCCATGAACTCATATTCTACCAGATTCAAAGGAAACTTTTACATTTACGCAACTTAATTTCATTGCTCTTCCTTGGCTCACTACCTGAACTTTCCCCTTTGACACATCCAGATACCACCTCAGAAATAACTCCATCCACTTTCTTCCAGCCTGAGTTTTCAATTAAATTTTTTTTAATGTGTGTTTAATTCACAATATATATAGGCATTGCTTCTCAAAAACTTACAATAATTGGCATCCCAACCTTTTGTAGCCAGAACATTTGATGGCATATGTATCTTGTTCAGGACTTAAAAGCAGAGGACGACCAATACTCTTCTTGTGTGTTCCAGTATTAATATTGTGGCATATTTGGTCAAGGCAAGAACTATGAGTCAGTAAAGAGCCATTGCTGAGTAATGGCTTTGCAAACAAGAAAGTTACCACGACAAGGATACAACAATAATGGGAAGTGGTGTCCTCTACGCGGTCTGTGCCGAGATGTTATAAGCAGACAAGGCTAAAGACAGTTAGCTAACCCCTATGGAGGCAAGTTTGAATACCTCTACCATAGCACTGTGAGTCACAGAAGGTGACCAAAAGGAAACCCCATGCCTGGAGTTATAAATGCACCACCACAAGGACCTGGCCCTCCAGGTTGGCCAAGTCTTGAATCTGAGAGAGTAAAATGTGGTCATGAGTCCCACCAGACTCAGATCTTAGAATGACCATGATGGTGAAGGCCAGAAGTAACTGTAACCGACAGACCCATTCTCTCATCAGAGAGGATGTTACATAAGGTCTACAACCACAAGTGTTCAGTTGAACAAAAATTACTGGTCATTATTCTCAAGGGGCTTGTCACCAGGACGAACTGATTGGCAGTGAACCGCCAGTCATAAAGTAACTGATTCTGACTCTGACAGTTGGTTAGGTAGTTAGGTTGTTTGTGTGTTTGTTTGTCAAGAGTTGCTGTAACTGATGCTGGAGACAGTTAAGAAAAGAAGATGATGAATGCCTGCCATCAGAAGACATTACCAGAAGACTAGTGAAGACACAGCAGGCTGAGAAGACTTCTGTGTGCTCTTAGTGAACTATAAAGTGCGTGAATTAGTGAAACGATTGTAATTACTTGTAATTATAAATCCATAAAAGTTCAATAAAACCAATTACCAATCCAAAAACTGTATATAGTCACTCCATTACGTGACAATATGGTACCTCTCAGTGTTTTAGTTAGGTATTATGTAGTACTTGTTTTGAGGGGCAACATCATACTTTGTTGCCATAATAGCCTGTTCTGTCACATGTTTGCACCTTTGCCCTTGATTTACACATTATCAGATATGAAGAATCCTGTGCATGATTAAAAATGGTGAATATTTAATATGGCTTGGTTTCAATGGTTACCTTACTATTGGTGAAAATCATAAGAAAAAGGTTAAACAGATGTTAGGTAATCTGAATTTAATCAGAGTAAACATACAGCTCATACAACTGATGAAAGTGCACCAGCGTTCCTAATTCTTATACTTGTCAGAGTTAGGAACACCCTAAGGTGTCAGGAACACCCTACTGTTTACAATTTGTTTATCTGCATCAAAAGTAAGACTACTAATTTCCTTAAATCCCTGAAAGTAACGTTAAAAATATGAAACTACTTTCAAGATGGTTTGTAGGAAGAACCACTTTCTGGTAATTTGATATAAAATAGTTATAAAAATATGACTTACCTCAAAAGCGACAACATACTCAACAAATACAAACCCTGAATTGATGTCAATACCATTACTGCCATGCAAATAAAATTAATATTGTCTGTTTGTGGCTGGAGGTGCTTCAAGGACAGGAATTAGTTCAAAAACCGCTGCCACCAACTGTCAAGGTTGATACTAAGGCCAGTAGAGGCCAGTGCCTGATTAAGGCTCATATACCTTATTAGCCTACTTTCCTTATTTTGAAAAAATGAATGGAGGCTTATGAGATCACCTTGCTGTCTTTGTGACTGTGTAACCCTCCTTAATTTTTTCATTTTACATGCAGTTCATGCCATACCAAAGGAAAGTAGGCAATTATATTTTCATATGAAATTCTGATAGGCATTCTGAAGGTAGGTAGGAGGCATACAGTTTCCATTTACTGTGACAATGAGCAACTATCCAATGTTCAACATTCAACATTGCAGGAAACCTTTGGCAACAAAATTTACTGCAATGTGGAATAAAAATGAAAAGATACAAGTATAAAAAAAAGGCATATTCAGGGCAGTGACTGAATCTAGGAAGATGAGAGGGGAAAGACAAGCATGGGGAGATGAGAATGCTTACAGATTGATAGAAATTGCAAAGGGAAGTGATCTACTGAAAGAAGTAAGCACACATAAGAGCTTATACAGAGTTATTCGTAAGTCCGTGAAACATTTTGAAAATCTACAATAAATAAACTACGAAATGGATTTTGTTTTCATAGTTTGTATCCTCAATACCTTTGCTGGTATGGCAGACATCTATTAGAAAATCCATTTCGTCCCACACCCTTGTCAGCATATCACGGTTGCCTAGAGCCACAGGAGCGGTGATACAGTTGCAAAGATCCCTGAGATTAGCAGGAAATAGAGGCTTTTAAAAAAAAAAACTTGGAGAGATTCATTCTCTATCGGTGCAAGAATTACCATGATCCAACGCATAATTTATTTGTTGTGAATTTTTAAAATGTTTCACGGACTTATGAATAACCCTGTATTAAACTGGATCTTAAAGAAGCAGGAAGGGGGAGTGGACGGGATTCACTGGTTCCATATGGGGTCAAATGGTGAGATTCTTCTAACAGATAAATGTAACTTTGTTTTCCATACAAGACTGTAATTTTTTCCAACAACTGCATGACTCTCAACCTCTGAAGAAGGGCTCAGTTTCAAGGCAGTAGTTAGTCACATAAATAGTATTCTGATGATATATTAAGGATAATTAAATAGTTTTAATTGCCTGTGTAACAAGTTAAATCCAACTTTTGATATTTCCTCTATATACATACAGAATGCGTCACTGAATCGGGCGATTTTAAAAACGTTATGAACAGTAAACTATTGCATTTACATATTTGGTTTTAACACATATGAATACATAAAATAAAAAAAAGTAAAGCTACCCCTGTAACATGCCGTGAAGGCCCATATGGTTGTGAGACGTTGAGGGTCCCACATTATCTAGACAATCGGCAGAAAGATGGCGGTAAGGTTGTCAGCCTTACGCGCCGGCCGCGCTTTACTCCCCAGAAAAATTATTTAATTAATTCCTGGTACTCATTTCTCTTAGAGGCTGAGTCGACCCCAGGACCATAGTGTGGCTGGAAGGATTTGGTCAACTGAAAAAATCCAATGACCTCATCGGGACTTGAACCCTTCCTGCTTGTATCATAGTGCCTCCAACTACCCTACCGCGTGACCCCTATATGAATACAGTGTAAACACAAATGCATTTGGATTCTCTCAATTAACTCACTGAAAACAGAAGTCTATTTCCCAAAAATAGCATCCGACAGATGACCACCATTCTGCTGTAGGCACTCAGCAAGTCTCTTCCTAAAGTCATGCATTGCTCTTTGCAGCATCTCCACGGGAATTTGTTCAGCTTCTTCCCGAATTCGATGTTTCAACTCATGAACTGTGTGGAGCGCTGGAGCTTTGAAAACTTTGGACTTCAGATACCCCCAGAGAAAGAAATCACATGTGGAAAGATCAGGTGACCTGGCTGGCAATATGATGTCCCCATATCTGAAGATAACATGGTTAGGAAACATGCCATGGAAGCTCATGTGGTGTGGCATGTAGCCCCATCTTGCTGGAAAAAAGTANCCCAAAAATAGCATCCGACAGATGACCACCATTCTGCTGTAGGCACTCAGCAAGTCTCTTCCTAAAGTCATGCATTGCTCTTTGCAGCATCTCCACGGGAATTTGTTCAGCTTCTTCCCGAATTCGATGTTTCAACTCATGAACTGTGTGGAGCGCTGGAGCTTTGAAAACTTTGGACTTCAGATACCCCCAGAGAAAGAAATCACATGTGGAAAGATCAGGTGACCTGGCTGGCAATGTGATGTCCCCATATCTGAAGATAACATGGTTAGGAAACATGTTATTCACAACTGCCATGGAAGCTCATGTGGTATGGCATGTAGCCCCATCTTGCTGGAAAAACGTTTCTTCCTTGACTGGAAGATGAGCAAGTGCAGGAGCTAAGAAGCTCTCCAACATGTGAATGTAACGTGGTCCAGTCACAGTTTCAGCCCTTTCCCACTCATCTTCAAAGAAGTACGGGCCAGTAATTCCAAACGAAGACATCGCGCACCCTACTGTGACTTCGGAACTGTGAAGTGGTCTCTTATAAATTTCTTTGGGGTTTGTGGCTGATCAATAGTGGAAATTTTGCTTGTTAACAAACCCAGACAAATGGAAATGAGCTTCGTTGCTCATCAGTAAGCTGTTAACGACAGCTTGGTTTTGATTAATTAATTGAAAAAAAAAAGTCTGGCAGAAATAAACTCTGTTTTCAAAGTCGTGTTCGTGTAGTGTATGAGTAATTTGAATTTTATAGGGGTAGAAGTGGAGATCTTTGTGCAAAATCCGCCGAACGCTGGCTTCGGACAGCCCTAGTGATGTAGCATGGCGACGCGCAGAGTGGCGTGGACTTCATTCAATGGCTTCTCTCTCTGCCGCTACATTCTCGGGTGTATGTGCTGTTTTTACGCTACCACCTTTCTTCTTCATTGTAGAACCAGTATCCTCAAAGTCTGGAACCTAGGTCTTGATGGCATGGGCAGATGGATTTCGATGAATACCAAACTCTCTTCGAAATTCACGCTGAGCGATCATGAAACTGTCACCGTTTTTTAAAATAATTTCACAGCAAAAACACGTTTGCTCCAGCCCATAGCTCCTTGCAACTAAAACGCTTTGAAGTAGGCTGCTGGGTGGCAGTAGTGGCATCCTCTCCACTCCAACCAATTCAGGAAAATCACCACTGCCAAATCGCCCGATTCATTGACGCACCCTGTACATTATAATGAAATTGAATAATGAAAATTTTCGAAAACCTGACAGGATCTGTCATTAATCATACTTGTGACCCAGTTCTAATCCTTTCTCAATATATTACAATTGTGGCAACTAATTATGCCAAACTATTCACTTAACCTGGCAATAACTGATGATGCTTACTTCTCGTGTGCACTTGATGGTGATGTGACAATGTGGCTGTATAGCACCATCTGGAACACAGCAGTTAACATAATTAAGACACCAAAATAGCTAAAGTTTTCTCGGAACACAAACAGACTCCACAGCATTACTAAAAAATTAATAGTGCAGACCACACCTGGTAGTTTAAAAATAGAGATCATTTTGAAAATATGATATGATAATTCTTCTAAATGTACCTCTACAATTTGTATTTTCTGTGAATTAAACGTTACAAGTATGGCAAATAGTACAAAATTATAAAGTTTCATAGGACAGTTTTACAGTTATGGGAAATTGCAGAAATTATGAACGAAATAAGAACACTAAATTCTACTGTAATTTCTGCTAGACTTTCAATATAACTGGAAACATTTAACCATATTCACACTAAAGACAAGAAAACCGACTCGAAGTCCCACCTACTTCTTCTTTTAATAAAAACAGCATTTGATAACACTGATGAAAACAAATTACCATGCCAAATTTTGACAGTTTAGTGAACAAGTAGTGCCTTTTCTTCAATGGTAATAATAAATTACGATGAACTTATATAAACAAGAAGTATTTTACATATTAAACTCAGCATAAAAAGGTTAAAGGAAAGTAGGCATCATACATTGTTACCAGAACTTCTTGTTTAATGCTGCTCTGAATCTTCACATTTTAGATTATTTACAGGCCATTACAAAATATACACATTCATACACAGTATCTGCTCGCCTCATACACATACCGAATGCTATGCAAACTACAAAAGCATTACACAGTGACTAAGACGTTAATTTTAGCACAATTTAAAATATTGAATCAATCCCCAATTTTGGTGTGTGTATTTTCCACGCATGTTCTTCCAGATTTTGAATCTGCCACTGAGCATGATATGCTATTAAGCGGCCTCCGTAGTCTAGGGGTAACGTTCCCACCTCATGACTCAAGGTTCGCGGGCTCAAACCCGGCGGAGGTGGTGGAACTTTTAAGAGCGGAAAAATTCAGGGAACAAGTCCTCCGGGAGGGACTTTAAGCCGTGGGTCCCGTGTCGTAGCTTTACGGCACGTAAAAGAACCTCATGCCTCAAGGAGGTCTCTGAGACAAATTACAAGGACGTTTCCCGCCCAACAATAGTCTCTAACGCCTCTGGTAGATGGGGGAAGCATCTAGATACCGCTGAGCCAGTAGAGGCCGAACTCGCTGGCTGAGTCGGGACTGATGGCACGCACCAGTATCGGTTCGGTAGGGTATAGAGACCGGTAGAATATCACAAGGGGACGTACAATAGACTACTGGTCGCGGTGCATGGGGAAACCCACCCCCTCCAATAATAATAATAATAATAATAATAATAATATGCTATTACTGTACATCTAAATAGACTGTTGACAGGGCCGTTCAACAATACAAGTACTGACTGCATAGCTATGTACCTTATTCAATAGCAAAGATTCTACATTATATAAAGACATAAATGTCGTTTTAACTTGAAGAGTATGGTTTTTGGATTTAATGTCATGCAGTTTGGGGACAGCCTGACGTTTCGGAAGATCACCTTTGAAACCGAAAGTAAGGGAAGGAAGAAACGAGCAGAATTAGGCGACAAGCTAAGATTCTGCTTCAGCTGATATCTTTGTGGGTTTACTCTTCAAGCATGAAGATGGAGGTCGTACTTTCTCCGAAACGTCGGGCACTCTCCGAACTACATAGTATTACAACCAAGAAGACCATATTCTTCATAGTCACCAACATGATAATATCAGATCCAACAAACCAGAATTAAATTTGTCCCTCATCGTTTAGTGTGGATCCCAATTGCCAAATTTCACTGGAAATTTGTTGAATTGTTTCCTGCTATCTTTGCTACCTTGCGTTCTTTGCTCTCTTGCCATACTATTCATTCGTTGCAGATACAAATCTATTATTTCAAAGTTCATTGCAATACAGATACCACACTTCATAAAATCAGAAATTATTTGTCTTTGCATTATATTAAATATACCTCCACTGTAGCCTTGCGAGTAGTACAAGGCGATGAGAAGGGAACCCTGTACCTAGAGGTATAGCTGAACCACCCTGTCACTGGGGACATAAATACAGGGACCTGGTCCCCCCGGTTTGGGGTTGGAAGCAAGGCTCACAACCTTGCTCTGTAAAAAAAAAAATATTGTTGCGAAATCGAAAGAATTGAAAACCGGGTGGTCTAATTCAAGACAAGTTTGACAGAATCTTGCAAGGAAGGCTATGTCTCAAAATTGGCTGCTTTGCCGGTGATAATGATTATATTAAATACGATGTCTATACTTCTGTTACGTAGGAATCTTTAGCGTGTTTCTAAGAAAATCGGTAGGTGCGATTTGGGCCACAAATTTTTTGTACAGATCTCTAATACACGACACTATTAAAACACGCTTTAGTATTTTGGAAATGCAATATACGAGGCTGTAGAGTACACGACTTCTCCACAGTGAAATGGTTTCATGCATTTTGTGCAAACAGCCCATGAAATAGGACTGAAACATCATAATACACAACGTAAAACAAAAGCCGCGAACAATCTATTGCTGCCGTCAACGGTCAATAACAAAGGAAATATTCTTCATTAGAATGAAGCGTAAAATGCCGCGATTCAGCAAGAAATTTCGCAATGTACAGATAGCGGAAAGTAAATTGCATACGCGCTGTCCTTCTAGAATGTCATGCTACGGTGATGGAACTAAATTACATGCCTTAAAATCTGCTTCGTCCTATCTTAAAGCATATTAAAATGTGTAAGTTATCTTATCAACGTCAGCAGATCAGAACATTGTTTCTATGTAGTTTTTCGTAACAAACTCCGACTCCAGAAGGTAGAAAACAATTCATGTCTTGTAAGATTTGAGGTTTTCACGGATGTGACTATGAAGAATGCAGTCTTCTGGGATGTGGCGCCGTGTAGATATTGTGTTAACCTATGTTTCGGAGGAACATATCGTCTCCATCTTCAGTACAGAAGAAAAAGAAGAAAATCCGCGAGCGAGGAACAGCACCTGCTCAATTCATGTTTTATTCAGGAACTGTATGTACACCAAAATTACTAACAAAGATCGTAATTTTTTTCATATTGTGGAGGTACTGGATTCGAGTATCGGCCTGGATACTGGACCAAATCTCGTTCCTTACATGTCATTCCCAATCCAGCATTCACTGTCATTCCTCCGCGAACGTCGCGGACGGATGGCAAGCCTGGTCCATAATAGGCTACATTGTCCATGTAGTACTAGGACATCGAATTAATAACAGAATTTAAATTTTAAAATGTGTGATGAATCATTTTTAAAAGAAATTTCTTTTAAATTGATGGGCAGAAAAATTGGTTTCTGGAAACTTTAACTATAATTTTTCTCCTGCTCGAAGAAAGAAGGGCACTTGCATATTCTTTACGGCTAAGAGGAATGTTACGACAGCTGAAAGGTCTGCGTGTACGCCGACCGTCCATGTAATGGTCCGCAACTGCCAAAAGTTCAGGAAACACTGGTCAAAACTGTTCTCTAGTCATCTTATCATTCGACGTTATATGGTCTGTGTTACTCGCCGCGTTTCTAAATAAACGAAAAAATAAATAAATAAATAAATAAATAGACTATCACAAATTCGAAGGTATACAGTTAAGAAAGAGCAATTAAATAACGTCCGTTTTCAGGCGGGTAGTATAGCGATGGGTTACGGGCTGGAAAGCCGAGGTTCGATTCCCTGCATAGGCAAGATATTTTTCTCCTCTCCAAAGCGTGCTGCCTGGCTTTAGGGCCCACCTAGCCTCCAGTGGATACCGGCGGCTCTTCCCTCGGGGTTTAAAGTGGCCGGGGCGTGAAGGACCCCACTCACCTCCATCTAGTGCCCAGGTCAAAAGTTATGGAGCTATATTTCAACTCCCTCCTGCGTCTTCATGGCGTTGTACTTAATTAATTAAGCACAGGGATAACTTTACCGTATTTAGGCAGCGTGATGGACTGAGAAATATAGAGGATAATCTGTTCCAGGCTGGGTTTCGAGTCAGTATATTATCTTGTTCGATAAGAGCACCCAGGGGACTCAAAAATATTCTTTAGAAGAGCCCAACACAAAACAGAAACCCGTGACAATTATGTCGTTTGGACTTCGCTCGGTGAAAGGTGCTACAGAGGACACCATACAAATACAGCATAGAAAGAGTACATCATTAACAAACACGTCTGGACTTACCAACACCTGACTTCTTGCTGTGGAACTCCTGTAACGCTAGGCTGTCTGTCATCAGGTTCTCCTTGTCTTCTTCCTCAAGCCTGCGACAAATACATCAGTGTGACTGACATGAAAGTCTATTCCAGTTAGAGCACGCAGTGTCTAAATGCGCTCTTTGCGGTCATTGGTCTTGATGCTATTTATCATGCATAGATATCCACTGCTGGTACTGCTAATCAACGACAGAACAGTGTACAGAAGGGGTGGGCAATGCCGTAATTAAGCAGGCTGTCAGCATCCAATAGTTCTAAGTAGCAACAACAAAGTTGTAATTTTCTTTGGACCAGAGTATGTCCCAGCTTCTGCCTTTAATCTCCTTGGGCGTTTGGGCGTGGAGTCTAACGTTAGGGGAGAAGCGGGTAGGTAGCTCTGTATGTGTCGGTGCGGTAATGAGAACTCGGGTGTAACGGGTAGTGGTTCAAGTGAAGTTGGGTAGGAGAAATAAAATATTCCTAAAAAGAAAAGAACGAAATTTGCTCAATACTTGACACTTAATTTGAGTTTCTGACACAAATTTGGAGGTCACTCTTTGCTTAGTAACTGCCAGAACACTTCCACAATTAAAGTTTCTTGACTGAACCGCTGAAATTTGGGATTTATTTTTAACACAAAATATTTAATCCGAAACTCTGTCACACGCGATGGATGAATTAAGTTTCGTGAACTTTGCGTCTGATTGGTCAAAAAGTCATCAAGCAACTCTCATGAGATCTCTCGGGGTCATCTCCATCCTCGCTTCCGAGATAGAAGCTGCAAAACTCCCAGTAAGAATATTTGTCCTCCCATTGGTCCGCCAAGGGGCAAACTGCGTTTTCATTGCAGCAAAAATGGGCAATCCGGAGTTTACAA